CGAACCGAGTAATACTGCGCTGAAATTGCAATTAAACCGAAATTTCGCTTTGTCGCGACACGTTATCAGTATTTGCTGATATAATACTTCCCTTAATCTATCCATGTAAATCAGAATGGAAAAAGCTACTTCTTCTCTACAAATTAATGCCTATATAGAAGTAAAATATCACAAGAGAAATAAAAACGTGTACAAGGTGTCTTGCGAAGCCTAATTTTATTTTCGAGAATTTAAAGATTTTCAAGATTTTTTGATTTAACTCAGATTCCAATTTAATTATTCAAAACCTTTCAGGATTTTGCATATTTCTAATCTTAAGATTCTTTCTCGATTTCTCGAAATTTTTAGACTATCCTAATTTTTAATTATTTCTTTTTCTAGAATTCTCATTTCGATACAAAGTCTCTATTAGCGAATTGATTTTCCGGAATCGATGTCGCTGTTATCAAGCGAGAGACCGACGATTCAAACGTGGGATTGGAACGCCACGCGACGGTTTCACACGGCTTTAAAAGAGCGAAACGGGGCACGAAACTCTCTGCGGGGGCAGGAGGGTGCTCGTTAATTTAACGGTGGCGAAGAGGTGCAAGCGCCGGCTAACGTCGCGGCAACGAGAGTCGGGGCAACATTACCGTTTCTACCTTGGGGTTCTATTACCCTTATTGTTAAACTTAGAGTTACTGTGAACTGCGGAGTGAACTATAGACCGCTTCTCTGTTGTCGCAACACTCGCGCCGACTGCGGCGGGCCACGTGGCTGCAGGTGTGTGGCTCCGTTGGGACGCGTGCGAGCGGCTCGTCAAGCGTCGTCAACGAGCGACCGGTGTATTCCGCCTTTCGTCAAGCTCGCAAAAATTTCGTCGGCCACGACCCGCCGTGATCCCTCCACCCTGGAATCAACCCCTATCCCCGCCTTTTCCCCGCTACCTGTCGCACACGCCTGCAAGATTCGTCGACGTCGTTGACGTTTGCTGGAACCGGAAAAAGATCTGACCGCGATTTTCCCGCAATTACGTACACGAATCGCGTCGCGGACGCGACTCAGCCCCGAACTAGGCGAAACTACTAAGGAAGTGAAACTAAAATGATGTTATAGTGAATAATTCAGGGAATCATGGTAGAAGTTGCAAGTATGACGAGCCACTCGAAATTTTGCGATGAGTCAGCTTTTTTTATTGTTGCAAACTTTTTTTTTTTTTCAATATAATTTTCCACGGTGATCCTTATCCAAAAGAACGAAGTGCTGCGTAAAATCATGGGAGATCAATTGTTAACTAGAATCATTTGTACAGATAAATGTGTTTATTACGGATTACGTCATATCATATAAAGCGATAAAACGTACCCTACGTGTCGTTACCGGAGAAGTAATGCAATACACGCGGATAGATTAACCCCCGAAGTCGCGTTGTACACACCACAAGTTATTACATTATATCTGTGTGCATCGGGCACGCTGTGTGTTGAACATGCGACGTGTTGTTTGGCGTTTCGTGGAAGTCGTCCTGTTATCGGAGACCAAGCTTATTGCAACTTGCTATTTCAAATCCATTCGCGTATACTTGTTATTTAATACACAGGCTATCGTTCGCTCTATTTTCACAAGTCTCGCGATAAAAGACACAAAACATACATTCTTCAAATCTATATTAAATTTATATCAAGCGAAGCGTTAATGCTATTAAGCCGACACTGGATATTCACGTGTGTGTAAAATCAATATAATTACAATATAATGAATAAAATACGCGTTTCCATTCAAGCGTTTAAGTCATCTTTAATACAAAATAAAATATAAAATTATGGAAGTAACATCATATAATGCGAAACTTCGATTTTGAATATTAAGGTGTACTATGGTATGATTTACCATCGTTTAAGTCTTTAATATATTAATAGTGTATAAATCTCAATTTTAATTTGACATATCACAAAATGTCGAAATCGAAAATTAACCCTTTATTCGTGATTTAAGAAAAGGAAATTAAATTCTATAAAGATTAACGTTGAAAATTGCGACGTTTCTCCAAGGAATTATTCTGGATATTTAAAAAATAAAACTTATTCTATAGATACTAAAATACTTTTCGATTGGCTCGAGGCTTATACTTTACAGACAATCTGACTAAATTATACGTATGCGTGTATAGTTCGCAAGCGATAAACGTTCATCATTGATCAATACAATCTTATAAACAATCATACTATCTATAACATCTATAACATCTTGGTATAATAAAAGCCCTGAAAAATCATGACCGAGTATCAATCGTGAACAATATGACCCTCGAGAAATAACATTATTTCGGCAAGTAATCATTAGATGTGATCGATAAACGAAATAAGCAGTCGCTATGTTTTTCGATTTAATACGGTCGAACAACGTTATTACGATATATCGAAACGTATGAGAAAGAGTTTGGGGAACTTCTATATCGAGGGACTGGATCATCCAATTAGACGTGGAATCAATGAATTCTCCTCGCACAATTTAGCATCGAACGAATTCGGCTTAATTCAGTAGTTTTACTTCGGCGATATCAAACGACAGGAAAAAAGTACAACATCAAATTGCCGTTGGCTTTCGATTTTTTGCAATTCGCATGTACGTACATTTCCGAATCGCTATCGATTGGATACAGCTTCGGATTTATATACCCCAAATATAATGCAGAATCGCATCCACATTGCATAATTGAATAATGTCATAACTCTCTCAATGTTCATCATTCTTTATTTTTTTAAGATATCAATTGATTTGTGTATTTAACAACTCAAATCATAAAAAATAAGATTGTACTAAATTATTACAAATTGAAGAAATGATTGCGAACTGAAGAGGCCAATCAACTTGAACCAACTCAAGAAGCTAAGAAACTTGTTTCAACTTAAATTGGTATGGTAATTATATTAATTGTTATTTATATACAGAACATGTTTATTTTAAAAGCATTATAAAATTAAGTGTTAGAAAGAGACATTATTGATTGCATTATTGATTGTTTCAATGATTTTACGTGACGTATCGCGAATAATTAATAATTGCAGCATTCATATATGACGTGCAATAGAATGCTCGCGTCTATAGATGCAGTAAGTAGTCCTTTATCCGATGCAGAATAATTTTCTTATATGTAGGCGGAATATTTTGATTGAGAATGCCGCGATGCTTATCGAACGAAGTTGACAAAGTTGTAAGACCCAGTCGCGGCTTACGTCGACGTTTCGCGCTTCGCAGAAATCTTTGCAACTTTTTCAAGGATCCTCTTCAAGCTACTGGCACCTCGCGCTTAAATGTTTTCTCGGAAGCAAACTTTATACACGTGTGAGATCGGTCGCGTTAGAAATCACATTCGTGTAGCAAGGACACTCGCGTTCTCTAGATCGTTCTCAATTGTTCGATCGCAGCTTAGCTGTGACATTGTGCAGGAATATTTGCGACGTTTCTCTTAAATAAAAATTTTCCTCGCGGAATCCCTGCATTTTGCATCGAGGATGCATCGGAGAAAATAGAAACGTGAAGTGATAAAAATTAATATCGATGAATCCAATTTGCCATGCTGTATCTTACGCTAATTGTTGTGCTTCTGGGCACGTATCTTGGAATGGATTTTCACATTTATTCAATCATTTATTAGATTTTTGTGTGTTAGAGAAAACGGCACAATTTCGAATGGAAACTATTCTGAATAGTTCTCATATGTATTCTGTTGTCACGAATGTATCCAGAAATCATTTTCTTGTGTCGAAGTGCAAATCCGTTAGATTACCTATATCGATTTCTTAGATCTGTATTCACATTTCACTTTTATCGATGAATACGCGCATTTAGCATATCGTTTATTTTATTTATACTACAGAATCTTAGAAATAAATGTGTACATTTATAATAAAAGTGAAGTGTAAATACAGATCATTATCTCCAATTCTTATAGTAGCGTTTTAAATTATATATACAATCGATATACATGTGTATATATATATATATATATATATATATATAAATCCTACTAATACAGAATTCTCTATGTGTACTAAAATGGTGCAGATTATCACACGTTTGAAGGCTTTATTATGACGGATTTTTTACAGTGAACCATTATTTAAGTTTTAAGTCTTAAGCCGTCTTAAGAAATTGACCAATCACAGTCGAATGTGAAAAGAATAACCGACAATGATTGGTCAATTTTTTACGCCTAAAATTTAAAGCTTGGATAATTAACGCCTTAAACTTAAAGCTTGGCTTATTGTAGAAAACACACTATGGCCACAGTACACAGAAAAATTTAAGAGCAGCTGGACGTAAGCAGCAAGAAAATCAACATGTTGTTATACAGAGTGTCCCAGAAAGAAAGATAGATATTCTGGGAGATGATGATATTGCTCATTTTAAAATGATATTTACATTCACATGATCATTTTTTAATGATCATGTGAAGGTGAACATCATTATGTTCTTTCCTCCTGGAACATCATATAAGACCGCCTTAAGTACAGTCTTAAGATGTCATAAATTAATTACTGTATTAACAGTAAAGCCACGCGCATATTAATATCTTAAGACATTACTTAGAGGACGGTCTTGGAATAAAAATTTTTAGACTTTCGCGTCAGACTTAAACGTCAGAATGATAATATATAGACATAGGGCGGTATTCATAGTCCATTTTTATTTTAAGATCGTCTTAAGTAATATCTTAAGATGTTAATAATCAATCTTGTGATTGGTTTATGACATCTTTAGACTGTACTTAAGATGGTCTTAAATATAATCCGACTATTAATATTTAGCCATAGTTATATATCATGCTTATTATTGATGTACTAATCGGATTACTCCGATCGGAATCTCTCGATACCGTTCGTATAACTGTTAAATCAATGTTTTAATTTGATCGAAACATGAAAATGCGAAAAACAAGAGAAATTAATATGATTTTTCGAAACAAAGTGCGAGGACTTATTGTTAGAGATTTTTCGAGTGAGTACTAACGGACTCACCAGGTTCGGCGAAGGTGATAATCTCCGAAGTTCTCGCGTAGAAATCATCTAGCTCCTCCTGAACATCATCGTAGCCCTGATAGGACTTAGCGGTGGTCCTAGCGTTACCCTCGGTGGTAGTGGTCTCCTGATCTAGATTCCTATACGAGTACTCGTCGCCGCCGTAAAGGAACTCGCCCGAATATTCACTCTCGTAGTCGACCCTCGACCGGTCGGAGTAGCGCGGCGGCGTTTGCGCCTCCGCCCGATAAAGGGTCTCCAGGGCCAAGTGCCGGGGCACGGTGGCCAACGTCCTGTTAACGTCCGGGCGAGTCCTCAAGCCAAGTTTCTGCAAGATCTGATGTTTGATCGCCTCCAACCTAAGATCATCGGGGCTAGGCGTGGCGGTGTCTTTGAACAGGCCGCCCCTCGGCGGACCCTCATGGTGAACGTGATGATGATGGTGATGTTGTTGCTGCTGTTGTTGATGTGGGCAACCCGGACACGTCTGATGGTGGCCGCTGAGACGCGGCTGTACCGCCGGTAGGGCGAGACAACAGAGAGCCAATCCTATGAGCAGCAAATTGGATGGCAGCGACGGCGGGGCACTAGCGTGAACGGTGCGCACCGGGCCCAGACAATGCAGGGAGGACACGCGGTCCACGTCGGGCCCGGCGTCGTGCCGTCGTAATCGCTGCCGCGGACACGAGCGCGAGCGCGGGCGCGGGCACGAGCACGGGCGCGGGCACGAGCACGAGCACGAGCACGGGCACGAGCACGGGCACGACCGCGAGATCTAGGCTGCTGCTGTTGCAACACTCGCCTGGTGCACTCGGGCTGCTGATGCTGCTGCTGCTCCCAGAAGATCCTGTCGTTTCGGTTTTCGCTTGAGATACCGCTGTGTCCGTAGGGCACCTGGTGCATCTCGACAGCGAGTCACCTCGTTCGTCCGCACCACCTCCGCCTCCTCCTCCTTTTACTTCGGTGCTCCCTTCTTTCCTTCTGTTCTTGATCCGATACCGGTACCCCGAGTGTCCTACCTGATGCGCGAAGAGGCTCCGGCTTTCTTTCTCCTGAGGTATCGTTAGGTTCCCCGTCAACGACGAAGCTGATATCGCTACTACCAACGCATTCGACGCCGAAGAGCAGGAAGTTTCTCGCACCGGTGAGGATCTTCCTTTGCTTGCCGTTAACGGGCTCGCTTTTTGCCTGCGGTGATGCCGAGGGATCACGACGACGACGACGACGATGACGGTCACTGGAGATGACGGGACGACCTGGGACGGAACAGTACAACGACTCGACGGCGTAGGGGATGACGGCGTGTAGCGGTGACGACGACGACGGTGATGATGACGACAGAGAAGACAGGGAGAAGGCATCCTCGCCTAAACCCCCCATCACCAACTACCGGTTGCCGGCGCCTTAAAATCGTTCTCACCCAAGCGATGGATCGCCGTAACCGACCGGTGGACGCCACTCGTAGTTTCGGCCATTCGCTTTGCTTCCGCGTATTCACGTTCACTCATAAACGCATTTCCTCGTATGTACATATATATTTATTATATATGTATATATATGTATATATATATATATATATAAAATTGTAGATATATATATTTCGCGCTATTCACGCTCTCTTTCCTTCCATGCGTCTCTCTTTCCGTCGGACTCCTCCTGAACACCGTCCTTGAGCCGGCCTTCCGCTCGTTCGCGCGAGCTAATCCGAGCGGGTCGTTGAACTTGACTGTGTGTGCACGCTTCACTTCGCTACTCTAACCCCTTTTTTTCTCTCTCTCTCTTTCTCTCTTTATCTTTCTCCCTTTCTCCCTCGCTCTTTCTCTCTTTCTCTCTCTTTCTTTCTTCCTCCCTGTCACGCCGGCTCCTCGGAACGAATGAAGCGGCGACGTCGTTCGCTATCGACTAGGGTCTTCTCGACTTTCTCGGGCACTTCCTATGTATACCTAACTCTTCACTACGGCTAAGATCCCCGGAATAATAATGCACCATTTAAAAGTCTGGCGTGGCTCCGTATGCCGATACTCCGACTACAGGGCACACTTCACCCGTAGCGACCCACGCGCTCACGAGTACGGTCGCCCGTGTTCCCCTCTGGAACGTGATCTCCTCTGGACGATCGTCGGGCGTCCGGATGCTCGCAGTGGTCCACTTCTTCTGCGACTCGTCGGTTAGCAGGACTCGTCGTTGTCGTGTCTGTCTGCCGCATGCGGCAAACGTCGCGGGCCGGTCCTGACCCGCGCCAACGATCCGCGTGAACCAGTCACCGTGAACCCCGTCACCGACGACGAGCACCGTAGCGTGGTCGAAACTAATCGCATCCTTCCTTGTGCGACAACAACAACCCGATCGAATCGACGGTAATCCGCGTAATCCCACGTATACGATCGTAATCCCGTCCCGACTTCGGCTTCTTCGACGTGTTCCTCTCTTCTTCTTCCTCCTTCTCTTCCTCCACCTGCAACTCTTCTCGTTTTGCCCACTTGCCGTTATTATCCTGGTCCGTCTCTTTGGCTGTCTCTCTGTTTTGCGACGCCGGCAGAAAGTCAGCCGATGTCATCCGCGATGAACGCCGGGAGCGCGTTCATAGGATCCTCTCGTAACGACCGAAGCACGCTTGTCGGAGGCGCGCCGGACACTGAGGGGCAAGCACCACCACTACCACCACTACCGATACCGGCACCACCACCGCCGTACCATCACCAGCGGCTGTGAGCCGGCATCAGGAACAGCAGCAGCAGTAGCAGCAGCCAGCAGCACCACCATCACCACCACCACCACTACCTACCATCACCACCACCACTACCACCAACACCATCACTATCAACCACCCACTACGGCGGTGTCGAGCGCAACCAACGAGATACTGTTCACCCACCCACCACGATATAGGTACTACAACGGCCGACTAAACTTCTCAGTAACTTTATATAGGTGGTCCCTTATAAACGATAGGTCTTCGTAATCCGCCGCTGAGATATTTAAAGATTCCACGCATGTAAACGTATATGAGTGTGTAGGCTCGACCCTTGATGATGATAGTGTGCGGGAGCGATCTCTTCAGGGTCGGATGATTTAAGAAGTGGAAGATAGACCGAGCAAAAAGAAAGAGATAACGCCGTTGTGTTTGATTTAATAGCATAGTATGTCTGCCATTCACATTTTTACCGGCTTTTAAAAGGATAAAAGCGGGAGCACAGAATCTTGCATAACGCATAATGTATGAGAAAATAGACCAATCAAAGTCCTTTATTTCCTTCGTTTTTAAATAAAAGACTCTGTGAGAGTTGATTTTATCATACTTTATGCATTATGCGGTATGTAAAGATACTGTTCTCCAATTAATATAAAAAAAAAGAGAGAGAGAGATGGAGGAGGGAGGGAGGGGAAAGAGAATAAGAGGAGAGGGAGAGAGAGAGAGAGAGAGAGAGAGAGAGAGAGAGAGAGAGACAGAGAGATCACTCGATCACCACCATGTGACTGACGCATGGTACCACGGATGATTCGCGCAGCATCGCAATGATCTCGGCGTCATTAGCAACGTCGACCGATTGTGAGTGAGGCCGCCAGTCGGCGCGAACGAGGACCACCTGTTAGGCGCTAACGGTATACCACGGCGACAAAATTTCGTCGATGATAAGATAACACCCGAGTGGAAACGGATGACCAATTCGTCCCACCCATGCGATGGTTACACGAGACATTTATCTCGGAATCCTCAGGAGCAAGGATCACCATAGATCTTTAGTTCACAAAAACGATACACTCGCACATATATTTGTAACGTCGATAGCCATAATTACTTCTTGAGAATGGAGAAAAATCGGACTGCTTGCTCTACTTGAAAAACGATCTTCAGATTTATTCGCAGTTATCACATACACATACAGTATTTTCTTCGTACTGCAAATATTTCGATAGTTTCAATCGTTCTTTGCCAGAAAAATATATCTATTTGTTACAATTCTAGTTTAAGAATACCTCATTAACATTTAAAATAATAATATGTCCTCACTACACGAATGCGAACGTTTTGAACATTTTAACCGAAAGATATAGTAATATTTTTTCAATTGATTGTAATACGAAACTGGTACCACATTTTCTAAAATTTTAGACTAAATTGTCTCTCTGAAGAGTGAAATCTTACTCTTGAAGATTGAAAATTCAGCTCTTTTTCAAGACTGGCTCAATTTTCACTCTTTAGAATGAGATTCCACTCCAAAGAATTTAGAGAGCAAGAATATATTTTTATCATTTATCTATCGAATCTAATTTTGAAGCAAGATTATCAATGCAGGTTTTTTTAAAAAGAAAATTGGGAAACTTCTTCTCAGATTGAAAAGAAGCCACATCTCTTTTATCTGATATACTGATTAAATATGTCGCGTCGAAAGTCGATCCTTCGATTGCACATCAGGATCGCGATGATCTCGTGGAAGAAGAACGGCAACTCGGTTTTCTCGATTACCTTCGGCACGCCAGATACCTCGGTGTCATCGGATAACGCATCGCGTCACCGAAACGCCTGATCCACTGCTCTCTTACGACGGAGAGACGCAAAAGGGAGACGGTACGAGAGGAAAGGGATAGAAAGAGAGGCGAGGTAGCCGTAAGCATATTGATCAGGAGACAGTAGTTGGCCGCATGCCACGTGGTGATGCTACGAGAGGCGCCGGCCTCTCCACCTATTATGAGCCAAGGCTCCTATCTTCGCGTTTCTTCTTTTCCCCGCGGGTTTCATCCCCGACGCCACCCGCCGTTGTCTTTCTTCCTTTCGCCCCCTCTGGGTGCCCCATCTTCTCCTCCCTGTCCTGTCCCCCCCCCCCTTGTTCCTTCCACGATCCGACAGAGAGCCCTTTTAACCCGCGTTATTTCACCACTCCCCGCTCTCCCCGCTGCGTGTACTTTATCTTCTTGTCTTCTCGGGACTTGTCTTTATTCCGAATCCCGGCATCTAGAATGCGTACTTTCGCCATGTACATGACTCGTGTAAATACACATACGTATTCGTTCATATACATACGCAAAAGGTGAATGCGTGTGGCCCTTTCTGGCGCTTATGCGAACGCCGCCACGCATGCGGGGCCCACCCTCAGTATCTTTTTCTTTTTTTCTTTCTCTCACCGTATCTCTCTTCGCCTCCGAAACCCTACGACTCCTCGACTCCCAATCGAGAGCGTTAAAATTGAGACGTCAGCCTAACAAGCTCACTTGCATCGTTCGAGCACGGAGGACGTCTCCATTCGGTCTCCTCTCCCTCTCACGTAAGCGAGCGATCTCTCAGCGGCAACTTTAAGAGAGCAAGGAAAAAGGAACAAAAATCGAATGAGGAAAAAAAGAAAAGATCAAAGGGGGTCCTGTTAAACGGCCGGTTCGGCACAGAGAGAAAGGAGACCGTCTTCTTGGGTGGCCACCGGTTCCTCTCGGTCAACCCCTTATCCTCTTATAGCGCGACCATGTTCTATAGTATCGTCGGTCTTTTGATCTCGCGAGATTATACCGTTCTGTCAACGCAGGGTCGATAAGAAGGAATATACTTGCCAGATACCGACACCAAGTAAACCGAGTGGTTTATCTCGCGCAGGTTTCTTCAGAACGCTGATAACGTGTAGGTTCCATCGATAACACGACAAACCACTATCGAGCGATGTACGTGCAGAATTCCTCTTTGTATGATGACTCGTTCCCTTCAGTCGCTTATTGTCATTAAAGTAGACTTTATTATATAATATATAAGGGATGGAAAACTAAACGATTGAATACTTGCTAGTTACAATGTACAAGTATATTATATTATTTTATTTAATTCGGAAAATTAAATTAAATAACATACACTTGTGCTAAGTGAATTTGTTTATGCATTTTTAATTTTTAAAGGTATTTTTAAATGTAAAAAAGTCATATAGTGGTATATATTTTAAATGTATAACGATATGTCTGAAAGATGCTTTAAAATATGCACATAGTGATACATAGATGAATGCAATCCCAGTCGACACAATGAAGAGTAATATCCCATATAGCACAGAATTTGCAACAATATCGCAACAATATCTGCAAAATCTCTGCAAAATCTCTGCAATATGCTGCAATATTTTTTTTATGCAACTTTGTGCTGTAGGAAATATATAATATCAAATATTATAATTTCGATCTTAACAATATATAGTAAATGTAATATAACATTAGTATTCAGTAACATTCTCAGTTATGTTGTTGAGAGCGAAATATTGTAATATAGTATTATAAAATTATAAAATTATAACGTATAAAATTATAATGTTATTTTTTATGTTGACTGGGATACAATAATGCAGCTTACAAAAATTATAATAGTTTTCTTTTCATATAAAAATGTTTAAAAATTATTGGCTTATGAAAATTTAATCGATAAATATTTTAAGTCATTTCCAGAATTCACACGAAAATAAGTTTAAAATGCCAGACATAATATATTACTTAAATTTTTATTTTAACTTATTTTGACACTTATTTATTTCCACAGTTCGCAAATTTGGTAATTAGCGACATATAGTATATATATATATATAATATATATTCAGTAATTATTAAAATCAGAAATTACAATGTAAGATATCGGGTCTCGATGAATATATTCTCACTAATATTGTAAAAAGTATAACTTTTTAATTTTACAATTTCGATATGTACGAGATTCCGAGATTCATTTGCCGATTAACTTTCTCAACATTGAAGCTTCAAGTCAAAATATGTTCGTTTTTTCGCTGCAATCCAATGTCATCTAAATATACAGCGCGTATTTGTGAAAAGTAAAAGACAGGGAAGTTTAATTTTATTCCTTAATATTGCAATTATTCCCTTCAATCACATGAGATTCACAATCGAGACGACAAAACGTTGCAGGATTAATTTCAGCGTAATAAGAAAAAAGATTGATTGACAGAAAATTTAATTCTTTCGATACTAAAACAAGTGTTTCGAGAGATGCTCGGAAATTTATAGGATTTATATAATGTAACTATTTATTTTACATTTCTTTCATACTAGTTTCTGAACAACTCGAAAAGTAGTAGTATCGAAAAAATTAATGGATTGAAACAAAAATCGGCTAATATTGTCGAAGATCGTATAATGAGTCACATACGGACGTTAAATTACACTTCGAGACTTAATGCTATAATACTAATTAATAATGGAAGACTGGTTTCTCGCCGACTAGAAGTTTTCCATCGATAGGATATCAGCTCGCATCGGCGCGTGAGCGCTTATTAATCGAAAAAGAGAAAAGAGTTCAGTTCGGCAAGTAGTATTCTCGTGGTATGTACTCCGTTTTCGGACTACTTGGCTCGATACCGAGTAACTCTCCCATGAAGGCGATGTATGTGATCGCCAGACGCAGCGTTTCAATTCTCGAGAGCCGTTTCTCGTAGGCAAACGTTGGTACCTAAATATAATTAAAGACTTAAAAATGAGAAATTTCTGAAGATAATCGAGAGAAATTCTCAGGTTTTGTATTATAATTTCTTAATTTTTTGACTTTTAAGAGGGGCGAATCGTTCGTCTTAAAAATAATCTTTTCAGAATAATTCTGTGGATAATTTAATAATTTTTGTGGATTTTTCTAATTGATTTTTAAGTTATAAGCTTATTTTGTTTGAAGCAAATGTATAATACATATATTAGGTGTAGTAAAAAGAAATCCATTATTTTTACTACACCTAATATAATCTCTCTCTCTCTCTCTCTCTCTCTCTCTCTCTCAAAAATATATAATTTTATACTTATATTTATATTTATATTTAATATATTATTTTATTTACTTTGGACGAGCTGTTCGCCCGTCTCGAAAATATTATGTCACAATTATAGATATTTTAAAGAGTTAATTTTCATTAAAAAATACAATAAAAAATTAATATCAATGTGCTAATATTTAAATTATTAAATATTTTATTTTTAAAATAAAAATACGTACTTTCCTGCGGAGTTTATCGAAGGCCTCATTCAGATTGAACATCCTGCGTCTCTCTCGGATATTGGCGGCTCTCCTTTGAGATACCGTTGCCACTCGACGTCTCGGTTTTTTCGTCGTTGACGATGGCAAGTTCGGTGAACGACCGTTTGGCGTGTAACGACTGAAATTTCAAAATTTTATATACTTTAAATCATATAAAATAATCAAGGACTCTTAAATTTCAATAATAATACAACGATAAAAAAGAATAAGTAAGAGTCGATTCTTTCAAATTAAGTATAAAAAATTCTTAATGCGAAACTAAACACATAATAAAACACTAAGATATAATAATATTATATAATAACATTATTATATCAGTGTTTTATTGTATATGTATTTAGTTTCGCATTAAGAATTTTTTATACTTAATATCTGGAAGAATCGATTCTTATTTGTCCTTTTTTCATTGTATTGTTATTTAGATATTTTATATACTTATTCATATTTTATATACTTTATCACATAGTATGTTGCAATATGGTAATTGATATTAACTATTAAAGACTTTTCATGCATATTTATCAATTTAGTATAATCAATATAGACAAGAAATTATATTATTCTACTTGAATATGCAGAGGAAAGTTAAAAAGTAAAGGGACTTTTGGAAAGTAAAAAAAAGAATTTAATTAATTCTTGCACAAGTTTATGATCGTTTTTCTACGTAAAGCAGAAAATGACTTTGCCAGACTAAAGTTTTTTTTTCCTAATTTCGAAAGCATTGTTAAACATTGGATGTTGAATGCATCGATGTTTGTGAAGACTATAGGAGAATGATAACAAAACCGCATAACAAAACTTGTATAAGAATTAATAAATTTTCCAGATGTCCCATTACCTTTTGATTTTACTTTGTGGACAATTCTTCGTGGAATGAATTACCTCTGGTGCAACAACGCGCAGGGTTGTCTGTACAATCCGTGCTCGTTCACGTGCGGATGAGCAGGCGGCTGTGTCTGGTACAAAACGGAACTGTCCCACATTGGATAGCTAGCGATCTCACCACCAACGTACTGCGACATCTCCGCCGCGATTACCTGTTACGCGAATACAGATTTTCTTTGAGGGAATCAGTTGGCTCGGATAGCGCGAATCACATGAGAATCTCGAACACATATTTATAACGTCTAATAGAATTATATTGATTTTGAATAATTTTTTTTCATATTATATATTAATTTTATATATCCGTATTTTATAGTTGATTCTTATTTTAAGATTGTCTTAAGTAAATATCTTAAGATGCTAACATGGCTCTATGATTGGCTTATAAGACATCAGACGTCTCAAGACTACTTAAGACGGTTTTAAAAACCGTCATAACTGATATGAGCTACTTTGACCAAACTTTGATTAACATAATCAACCTTCCATCTGCAATCAGGATCTTTTTTATCTAGCCAAAGTTCTTTTACTGTTTTAGACTTCCAAAAAATTTATGTTTAAATTACTATTATTTTTCGTTTCTATTATAACATCTCAACATCTCTATTACATTATCAAATAATTTTGTAACTTAAATGTTAAAACTTTAATTTAAGAAAATTGAAATTTAAAGAAAAAATGAACATAAAATTCGAGAATAAAATTTTTTTTATGCCAATGTAAACGGAGGATTAATCAATTAGCTCAATTAATTGTTAATTGTACTCTGTCGAATTGTGACTGTAATTTAATACTGTATTTTATTTCATTTTTGGGGATATGTGCGAATTACTTGGCTCCAGTTAGGACAGACAACGATTTTCGATGATTTATATAAGATATTGAATTGAAAGGAAAGTAATGTCGTATTTTTTAGCTCAGATTTATATATATTCTATTTAAAAAACATTGACAATTATACTATTCGATAGAGCAAAATTTCAGCTTTAAGAATCTGTTTTTTAATTGCGATACGATGATTTTTATGGAATTATGAACAATCAAAGTCAAAATACTTCTTTTATTTAACTCGCGATAATTAAAATCTTAGGAAACAGCTTTTAATTTATAATTTAATTAAAGTCGCCAGCGAAAACGTGCTGCTATCACGGTATATACAACCATTGTCTTTTCTGCTCTTCATCTTTTATCACCAATATCGAAGACAAAACTGTAAATCGCGTCGTGCGGAATTCATCCTTCGACTCACTGGTGTTTGATTTCCATTAATCTCCCACAGCGGTTCGGTGTAGCTCATATCCCGCTTCCTCTTCAGTGACGAGCGAACCACCAGCGTGCTTAATTCACTCACTCTCGCAGAGGATGAAAAAAAATTTAAAAAAAGAAGGGGGTTACCGCACGCGATGACACTTGGATAACGTCCTGCGACGTTACGGGGTCCGAGTTTCCCGTTCTTCTGAGAATCCTCTGCTGGCTCTGATAGCGCATTTTCGGAAATTTTGCCGAATATACCCCCGGGGATAACCGCCCCCGTTGCAATCCCCGAATGCGCGCGGATTCACTACAAGACGCGTGCGCCGCGACGCAGACACGACATTGGGGCTCCCTCGTACCCCTCGTAACCCCGTTGGGCGGTGCTTACCGTGACGCAGCCTACCGGTACCACGAGAGCTGATCTCGTGTATCGACCGAAAGATTGTAAGATGGACGCGATGGACAGTAACCAAACGACGAGAAAATTGAGCTTCCAGTCTGACAAATAAAGAAAACATTATGTGGACTAAACATCATATTTAATACAAGGTTAATATGTATAATCAATTTTTTTTTTCATTTATGTGTAATCAGAATTATCGATTAATGAGAATCTCGGTGAATGGCGAATATGGACCGGTATAGAGACATCAGCTAAAGAAGCTTAATGTATGCACGAGTAGCTAAATAAAACACATAAGTGAGCAAAAGAAAAAAAGAATGTTATTTAAAAAGTGTTTTATCACATCTTATTCGCGCCTTAAATTTATATAGATTTTATATTAAATTTATAGTTTGTAATTAAACAAACTCCAATTATTTATATTTAATATCAATATTTTTCATCTCCCTTATTTAAAAAAAAAAAAAAAAACTAATATTTAGATGTCAAGAGAATCTATAGAGAGGAATTTTGTAAAGAAGTTAAAAAGTCAATTGCTTTATCTTAAATCTTAATTGATTTATTTTAATTTACATTGATAATGCATTGATGAAACGCCATATTAAGTTACGAACTAAATAATATAAACCTGTTGAAGACTTCGGTTAAGAATTTTCGAATAATTTTGGTTCATAATCTGTAAAATGTATATATTTTTATACTTTACATAAATCTTTTGCAATTTATAAATAACAAACTTAAGATTTTTATTTTAAACATTTCACTTATATGTATATAGTATACGTGTGTATATCAATTAATTTGAATCATTATATATTTTAAATAGATTAATATTTAATATATGAATAAAAAGTAAAAAAAAGAACGTAATCAAAATTAATATTCCAATACCAACTAATCAATATTCAATCATAAATAAAATACAAATTAAGTACAAAGATTTATATTTTATTAAGTATATATATATATATATGAGAGTATTCCAGTTTTTGTCACTTCTTTGCAAGAGATGTACTTTGCGCTATTTTGCATCTTAAAGAATTTTATTTTAAATAAATAATTGATCTATTTTATTTTATTTTTAACTGCTACTTAAAAATAAGATGTACTTACAGCTCCAATTATGTGAAAAAATGGCTACGGTTGTTACGACCAAAAGTCGTCCATCATTTTTTGATTATAAGAACTATACGATTGTGATAGATAGATTGGCATATCTTAACGATTATGCTGTAAACATATGTCTATCTTACGGTTATCACAATCAAATGTATTGATAGGCGAAAATTATCATTATTTCCGGTTGTGGCAAAATTTTTTTATGTGTTGCGTATACAAATATAAATTTTAACAATTAACTTAATACATTTATGTAGTTTAAATTTAAAAGTTTCTGAAAATTTCGATCACATTTTTTCTGATAGTTTAATATCTATTCTATATAATAATGAAACTTTCGGCAAATATTGCGCATAATTCTTTGAAAGATTATTCTATAAATCAAATGTAGAATATATAAAATAAGCAGATTGATATTTTCATATCTATGTATATATTTATCTATGTATATATATTAAATTAATTTGTTTATAATATTTAGTATTTATTTAATGACTAAATATTAATTTACCTAACTAAATATTAATTTACCTAAATGTATATTTTTTGACATATATCTATTGTTAAATATTAATTAGTAATATACCTTATATTCTTTAGAGATTTGATTTCTGTTTTTTTCTACGTTTTGATTTCTATTTTTTTCTACGTTGGTTTCTCGCGTTATCATCTCTCATCACAACTGCTCAAGGGATTTCCGTGTCGAATCCGCATAATAAGCATCAGAAAAGTCTGGAAAGGTCCGTGACGAAATCCTGTAATTTCGCTCAGAGGCGTGACCCCGTTGTGGGCGATGCGGGGTCGGTGCATTGCCATTGTTAGCGGCGCATTAAAATCGGATCGGATGAACACGTGCGAAATCCGGAGGACGGTGTTTACGTGGCTGGCTCCGTTCATTCTAGTAAATTTGGCTGGAATCACCCCATTTTCGTAATGCACGGTGTAATGCATGATCCTGCGAATCCGAATGGAATTTCGGAAAAATTTAGTACAGATTGCTCCTCAAGTAATATACAATATTGCAATATTAATTTTGACATATTTTTAATTTTTTTATATTTACATTAGGTATAATTAAATATTATGATCTATTATAAACATAATGGTTGAAATTAATAAGATGAAGATGAGTTGTGTGAGCAAAAAATTAACAATTTATTTTTTTTTGCGAAATAAATTTCAAAGAAACGAACAATAATGATATATAACATGAATGATATAACAATAACAAAATTTTAATAAGCGATGTATAATATAATTAGAACTGGATAATATAATAAATAAATAGTAGCTCTCCGTTAAATTTCAATTCTGAAAAGATTTTGTAATAAATATTTGAGGCAGTTTTTTTATAAAAATTAAAATGAAAATGTGGAAACAAGAAATAATGAAGAAAAAAATGAAGAATTTATTAATTTTAATTTAAAAAAATAATGTACAAATTTTAATAATGTCGACTTTTAATCTGTAAGTTTTGAAAATTTCCAGAAATTAATTTCTCTTATTATGAATTGTTACCGATTCTTTCTAAAGTTGGTCTATTTCTCTTTCGCAGAATGCTCAAGTAAAATTTAATTTCACATTTGATTTCATACGTATCGGTTGCTCCAGAAAATGACGGCAGAAAGAGCTGGAGCTTACCGGCGCCGACGCTTGGAACATCGATCCGGGGCGTCAGCTTGCAGTTATGTATATAGTTCATATTACAGCAGAGGGTTGTATTAAACATCCACGTCGTTCTCTACTTGCGCTTACAATTCTAACGCATACCGTTTATCAAACAGTTTGAGTGATATTACGCTCACGCAGGACATCTTCTCTTCAAACTTCTGTTGTAATTTGTTATACGATTTTGTCGCGATGTAAGGAAGAAAACAGGCCTTACAAAATCGATATTGTTGTGAAATGTTGAGTCAACGTTTTTAAGACACAGATATATAAATATAAGATATAAATATAATATATAAATATAAGAAACTTTAAAATATAGAAATGTAAATATATAGTAAAAAATATAACAGATTAATTTTCTCAGATTTTTAGAAGAAATCGATTAAAATGATGTTAAACTCCATATATTCTCTAAATTCCTTGGAGTAGAATCTCACTCTAAAGAATGAAAATTCTGCCACTCTTGAAAAGTAGTGGCAGAATTTTCGAACTTGAAGAGTGAGATTTCACTCTTTAGAGTAAGATTTTACGAAGAATTTACAGAGTAAATTTCAATGTATTTTTTTTTTATTAAAAAGAGGGCAAGTATTTGCACACTGTAGGAAACAGCGCGAGTTTTGCTTATGCTAATCCAGAGATATTCATACTTCCTTTCGTAAATTCTTAGAAGTGGAATTTCACTATAAATTGTATAAATTACGCCAGTCTTGAAAAAGAGTAGCTCACTTTCAATCTTTAAGAGAGTGAGAGATTTTATTCTATAGAGATTCATTCTAAAAATTTTAGAGAGTCTATAGGTATACAACAAATGCCATTAAGCATCTAATCGACATTTATGTATTTTGAAATATATAGATTTCTTAATATATTCCTAATATATATTCTATTATTTTTATGGAATAAACAAAATAATTTTACAAAAAGATAAATCTCGACTATCTAAGCGATAAATCTATCTTGAAAATTGGAAAACGATTTGTCGGCGTCGAGCTATTGCGGGGCGAGAATATAGGGGTTTTGGGGATGAAAAAATGTGGTGGATAAATCATACGCCATTCGCGCGACGTAATTAGAGCGTTTCTGGGACATGGAAATGTCGCGAAACGAGGGGATGCGCCGGGGAATAACTAATAACTTTATACAATCCCTCCTCCTCCCCTCGTCGAAGTCACCTCGGGGTAGCATAAACACGAGATCCGATTTGACACGCGGAAACGCGCGATGTTTATACGCGCTCGTTGTAAGGGTCGGTCTCTCGCTCTCTTAGCCACGTCAAGTGACACGGCTAATATCTATTTAATTGATTCAGGGATGGAGCGCACCCCTCAAACTGCTCTCTTGCGCGCAAACAATATGTTGGCTGTCCCTCGAAAGGACGGAAAAGGCGCGCACGTGTTCGTTGAAATCGCAAATTGACTCTGTGCTATCGATTTGACAAAGCTAATTATAGACAGGAAGGATTATCGAAAACAATCACCGTAAAATCACCGATGAAACGGCTGCCGAGTTATCCCTGTAATACAAAAATATAAAAGAACAGGCTTTCTTTGGAAACCATTCTCACGCTGTTTAGGGATATATCAGCCGTTATTATTTTTTATTATTATAAAAAATTAAAATTTTTAAAGTTAAAATATTATAATAAAAATAAAAATGTAATAAACTATAAAAATACATTTTGTTAAATAAATATAACAAATATAAGTTATTCATATAATTGTTTTGTATTTATATTCATTTTCAAATGAAAAATATAAATATTAATAAATTTCATAATAATGTTAAACTTTTTGCAAGAAATATACTGATATATTCTCAACTGTTAATTTAAGAATATTAGGAAAAATAAAATCTCAACGAACAGGTTACGTTTTAAATGTTTTATTCAAACATTTGTAACATAGATATATATGTACATACATATATTTTGATATATTTATGAGCACGCTGTTTATTATTTTACAAGTACAGTTAATCTGCGATTACTACGTATTTTCTATACTGGATATTTATTAAGGAGGAATTAATTCCGATCGCAATTATTTTGTTTTCCCTAGAAAACAATAGAAATCTAGGGAATAATCGAATAATAGGGAATAATTCCGATCGGAATTCCATTTCGAATAATTCCATAATACATATCCTTCGCAATACCAAAAGTCGCACGTCAAGTATTCACAGTCAGGATATTTCTTCGTGCAACTTCAAGCGTAATTATGTCACCTTAATCAGGACATTTTCTTTGGCTCGGATAAAAACCTTCTCTCCAGTACTTACTATTATACTGAAAAAAAAATATATATATAAAAAACGTAATATCTTCAATTACACATGCAGTCGCACGAAATAAGATATCTAATAGATATCTTCGTTGTCATTTTTAACATTGTTAGCTGGCGCATGCATACATTTTCAGTCTCGTACATTCGGTAACTTTAAGAAAATATGACTATTAAAAACTATTGCAATATATTTTAAAGAGCAGAATAAAATGCAGTAAATATACATTTTTACATTTCTTTCTAAAATGCCTCTTTTGTAATTATATGTACTTTTTTCTCCACTGTCTCTTCTCCTATTCAGTCATCCTTATATTTAATTGAAGCACACGTAATGGCTATGTTTATCTACATAGCGTTTGTACATCTGCAATAATCTCTTTAGGAAAGAGGTAATCTTCTATGTAATTACGAGTCACAGTCAACAGCGATGATCCTAGACAGTATTGTTGGGCAAAATCTTATTTAAGAATCTTAAAAAAATATAAACGATCGAAAATGTAGCATCAATCTACTCCCTTAAAAATTTAAAAATTTTTTAATTCTTTTTAAAACTGATTCTACAAATGATATAAATATGTTAAATTAAAATTAAAACATGCAGATAGTGATATGTATAAGTGAAAAGATTAATTTTTCTTTCTCACTATTATCAATTCAGTAATTCGTTGATCTTTTTATAAAAAAGACCCATTCTAAGTTAAATGTTTGTCTATCATTTAAATTATCATAATTTTATTCTATTTGTATTGATAAAATATGTTATTTTAAGTCACGAAGCGATTTAGAAACATTGATCGCTTTCTAAAGATATTTCTCGAGCTAAAACAAGAATATATCGTCTTTGATTTAATATCTCATTTATATAATGCTATAAAGATTGGAAGATGGGGTTTAAAAGTTTCGCTATTATAACTCTCTCTCTAAATAATCTGGTCCTGATCGTATACTTTTATCAGCCTTGATGAATAATGCTACGAAACATCAAAATGACTGTTTAGCTCTGTTTAATTAATACTTGTTGATTTTAATACTTTTGAATTTCTAGGAAACTATCCTTTCTAAAACTTTAGTAGTGTAAAACGCTACGTTGTAAGAATAGATCTAATATCACGAGGATATCGAAAAAAATATCAAATAAGTAAATTAATTTGCGATTGATATCTATTTCTTTTCCTCCTCTTTGACATCGAAACCCACGGTGATATTAGAGCTATCTGTGAGACTACCGGCTACAGTGAGTATAGGTTCCTCCTGTTGGCTCGTTCTCGAGGAATGTGTCGGATCCGTGCTTAATTTCCAATTTTCCAGATCCGCATCCGACATTGTCGAGAATGAGCTTTGTCTCGAATAACTGAAAGTCGTATCAGGTTTCGATGCAACCGGCTTCGGCGTCGTGACGCTCTGTGATCGAGAAAAGTTTTTTCGCTTTTGAGAATTGATATGCGAGCCGCCGCACTTTTTGGAATCCTTCTTTGCCTTCTCCGCGATGGATTTACCCGTGCTTGAAATGTCAGATTTCTGAGAGGTAGAGAGTTTTATTTTATCGGAAGTACCGGCGTTGTCAGTGTCTTTAATTCGGACGTCGCCGTGCGATACATCCGTGCTTTCCACCAGGAAACTACAGTAAACAAATAACACCGCGATAAATATCGGTATATCTTTTCATATGTACATGTATTATATGTATATTCGTGTTAAACCGATTTGATTTGCCTACCGTCCGATCTTCTTGTAGCTGCCACTTAGTTTCGTAGGATTAATGTCATCCCTCTGCTCGAATATCGATTTAACATCTTGTTTCTTTTGCTCTTCGGTCTGTTTTAAAGTTAACGTGTGGTCCTCGTCTTCGTCGATATTATCGCAGGGAAGATCATCGCCACAAACGAGCTTTGTTTGCGCGCCGCTGACACCTGATTGTATCGTTTGCGGTATTTGCGTTATTTTACGTATCTGACCGTCCTCGTTGCTGTAATAATCCGTATATGAGACGCTGCCGCGACTTTCTCGATTTTCTTGATCGAGACGAATACAAAATTCGTTAAAGTCTACGTCCAGGCAGGAGGTCGGGGAGAATTTCGGCGCAATAAAGAGTTGAGCACTGTGAAGGGAGAGGTGTTATTTCTAATACTACTAACACTCAACGCACAACGTAGTAAGATATTAGAGAGAATGTAAAAATGTCTAAATTAATCAACAAAGATACAATCACAAAATGATATATTTAGTAAATTTAGGACTATAGAATGCAAGTAATTAAATCAGTAGTTAATTAATCACATAAATTCAACATAAAAGGAGAAAACGTACAAAATTAGAAATAGATCAAATTTATAAAATGTATCTCAAAATACACATAAGACTCACCTTTCGTTGCTGATTAAACTTATAGACATACTACATTCGCCTGTCGACGTTGGCGCAGGTGATGATGGCTCGGAGGATAGAAAAGATTGTGGCTCACTACTCCAGCCTGTACCTGTATGAAACATAAAAGATTATTAAAATAAAATTAATATTACTGCCACAGTTTTAGATAGGATAGATACATACTGTTCGGACTGGTGGGTGATGGTAAATTCCTAGTGTCACACGTTTCTGCTTCACCAAGAGGTTTATACTGTATCGGTGTCGGCATAATGTACCTATAAAATGATAACACGATTATATATTGGATATTAATCATAATTCGCATACTAGAGTTTTTAGTAATTAAATTGTAAAACAATATATGTATTATACAAATACTAAATAATTATTCAAACAAAAAAAGATGTAATAGAATATAACACACTCATCGGGATAAGTTTAGGAGCATTCTTACTCGAAATTTGGTTGATACAGAAGAAAGAACTAAATACTCACGGACATGTTTTATATAATTTCTTACGATACCTGACAGCTTCCGTGTCGGAAGAGTGGTACTCGCGACTAATCCCGGCATGGACGAGGGGTGGATTGAGTGACTCGTGCGTCGATCCGGCCGGCGACGATTTAGGCGGTGACGAGGCTGGGGTTCTATATAACGGCGCCGTGGTCATCATCTCCAGGAAGCAATCTAGTTGACGTAGCGACAACGCATTGTGTAGAGTTTCCAAGGGTCTGATGGGAGGCACCCCGCCGAAGCCTTCTATCGCTATAGAATAAAGATGCCAATTATTGGAATCATTTTTTTCAATATTTTAATTTATTCTCTTCTATCCGGATTTTTCATTTTATTAGATAAGTTAATAAAATATCGATATTTTCAAAGCTTCTATTATTGTATATCTGAATTTTATCAGATATACAATTATTCAAATTGAAAGATAAATTGTTCGGATAAGATTTAATACGTTTCAATAGCTTTTATATTATTTGTTACGAAAGTTTGACTAAATCCGAGAAATTATCTTGCTAATTTTATATTAAGCATAAAATTACTGAGGATTAATTATTTATATTACATATTAAATATATAATAATCTAAAGATGCTACCGGCAACCGCGGACGCATGAGGTGGTACCATGTCCTTCAGGTTCGGCGCGCTCGAGGAACCGCTTATTACGGCAGTGCTGAAGAGACTATTGGCCGAACCAGTGAGCTTCTTGCTGACATTGTAGCCCAGCAGCTTGAAATAACTCATCTGTCCGGAGATACTGTGTCGGTGGCGCCTTGCTGTGCAGGTAGGATCAGGTTGAATGATCCGCGATTGTGTGTCTAGGGGTGGAGAAGAGGAATGAGGTCTGGACACGGGATGTTTGGACAGACGGGGGACTCAGACGCTGATAGATACTCCAGACATTGATGATGATTAGTCTCGTGGATTGATGGTAGTGATAATTGGTGAATATTTGTATATAATTGGCATGTCTTTATTAAAAGCCGGCAGAGATCGACTGTGAGGCCTTAAATTCTATCACGACATACTCGTGCTCGTGCTCGTGCTCGTGCTCGTGCCCGTGCTTGAGTTTGTACTCGCGTCTCAAGGTGAGAAGAGGAACATTAATAATCAGAAAGAGACGACAGAGCGATAACGAGCAAAGCAAATCGGTGAGCATAGGACTATTCCCACAATGTTAATTATTATATTAATCAACACAATTAATTCTCTACCTCTTTCTGAAAGTAAATTTAGAAAGAAATAGAAGATCAGGACTCGAATCGAATTTCAATTAGTGGGAATAATCCAAATTAGGAAACAAAAAACTAGCGTTGGTCTTCCTTCGAAAAAGAATATCAAACTAATTGAACAAATTAGCAAAATATAACGGATAAAGAATTAAATTTTGCGAATGCCCAATTAATTTGCTGTACTACTTATGTTGCAGTAAATAGTTTCTTGACTATCTCCCTTTCTTTTATAAATCTGGTCTCCTTTAGTTTGTTAAATATAATAATTTCTTTGTCAGACAACATAATTTCGTCAAATCTAGAATAAAATAATGCAGCAATTCACGTAGGATCAATTTCGTATTCTATTGATCTCGTGAATCGAGGTTTCCAGTATCTAATATTGAAGTCGCAGAAACTCCAGAGTAGCGCATGGAAAATAAATAATTCAGTCACGTCCAACCTGCGTGTCGATGCTAATAAGAGTTCGTAAAAGAAATTATCAACGAAAGGACAAGACGAAACATTATTTAGTGATTCAAGAAGAATGATGTTAATCCCGATCACCAGATGTACGTTGTATTTATTTCTTTATATTACTAACACTTAAACTTTTTCGCTATTTATGGCATATCCAACTTTCTTGTACTTTTCCATTGCTTTCATTAATAAAGCAATGAAAAACACTTTTACATACTCCATACATATATTTTCTCAGTACCGTTATGCTTAATATCTGCCGTTTTGATTGAGAAAGATTTTTTTCAAAGTTCATTTTTATGAAATTACAATCGAATTGGGTGAATATACTACAGTGTATTGTTCCCGTAGTGTGATATTTGGACAAACAAAATTCTCATTGACATTGATAGGATTAGAATACCTGAATAAAACTGAGAGAAATACTGAGAGAAACGTTTGATTAATTAAAATTCTAGTTGAAAATGAACAAATTAGAATTGTCTGATTAAATCTACTAAATTCTAATTATGACAACTGGAATTCTGATTGATATCAAGAGTTTTCCAGTTTATTCATTTTCAACCAAACATTTTTCTCAGGTTCTTCCGTGCGCCACTCCGACATGCGACGATCCAGTCCACGTGAAGTTTGTCGTTACCCTTGAACTCACCGCAGAGTTCGATGGATGAGAGCAAGGTCACTTCGGAGCGCGATCGTTCGTATTTTCTGCCGCGGCCACGGTACCCGGTGACAGTCCGCTCCGGCAGGTTGCTGACGGTCGCGAACGACGGATCGGGCAACGAGCAAGGGTTGGCGGATAGTTGTCTATCGTTGCACGCATTGCGAAGCGAGCACGAAGAAGCGAAGCTCTCGTCCGGCGAAACCGGTAGCTCCGGCGAGCTATATGATTGCAGCAGCATCGCCGGTTTCCACGTGCGTTCCTCGTCGCGAGATTCCTCCGGAGTTGACTCCGCGGCTGATAGCGAGTTGCGTTGCGTTGCGTTGCGTAGCGGTGCGATGCGGTGCATGAGGAGAGTGTGAAATGCGCAGGCAATAGATCCAGATGTGATAGCGTTATCAGAAGGAGACGGCAGGGTACGGTGCAGCATTCGGAATGACGATGTAGTGAGAGGAAGAGGAGAGAAAAGAAAACAAAAGAGAGAAAGAGCCGATTAAAAAACCCATTTGCTAAAGAACCGGAAAGGACGAATCTTTGGATCACTGCTCTCGCGGTAAAAAAAAAGCAATGATTACCGTAATACTTGTATCAGACTAGAGATTGAATTTCACCAATCATAAAAAATAAAATTAATATCAAAGTTAGTGGACTTTGCTTTGATTAATAAAATTCAATCTCAATCTCAATGTCTAATCTGATACGGATATAAAGGACGTTGTCATTTTATTATACACCTTGCGACATGCTTTGCTTTACGTGTTATGGTACGTTACAGAGATTATGAATAATAATTAAAAAATTATATATAAAGAATGAAACAATCTCTATCAAATATAAGAATCATCAACGTAAAGATCTTAAAATCTGTTATAGTTATTACATCTATATGTATGAAATAATATAAATATTGTATATAGAAAATAATTTTTGAATAATCTCGTGTCATTAAACGAACAATATACTTTGACGCTTGAAAAGATTACAATATTTATAAATATTTTAATTGCTTCGGCGTTTAAAGATTCGTCAAGGAAGAAATAAAGTAAATTAAGGATAGAGTATACCTTTCACACCCTCTGCGCATAGTTTAGCGAGTATGCCGGATTTTTTTTCACGAGTACGCACACCATACAACAACCGTGGCACACGATAGCCATGCAACCAGTAAGCCAACCAAACCACACGACTTTTTACATATAGACAGCCTCAACATTGAAGTTTGTTAGGATGCCGAAGCTCGAACGGCATTAGTATACAATTGTGATGATATAATGGAAAGATATGATGCTTTTCTTGGTCCGAGTCCCTTTTTCTTTTTGATTATCGTTATGAATGAAGAAGAGGAACAAGGTTATATGTTTTATGAGCTACTTATTCAAAGATAACATTCGATGATCAATGAAAATGGTGGCGGTGTAAGATGAACACGATAACGACGAATCGACATGAAACGCAAATACAAAAAAAGAAGCTATGAATATTCGATGAGCGTCAACAAGTATTGTTTGAGAAAATCGATGATATGAAATTCGATGACACTTTGGATGAACTTATACGGTGAACGTATGACAAATACGCTTAGAGCTCCAAGAAGGAAGACTCGATGGTAATGAAGATGTGCGAATTTCGTGGAGATGATGATCTTAGGATCGAGGATTCGGATGGGCAGCTAAATGAACCACACTACAGTGCGTGTGTGGTCCAGACAGTCGCCGATACTTGATTAGTTGGCTTCCACGCGCACAACTATCGCTGAGCAAAGAGTTATTTCAACTGGAATCACCACTTCCTACCCTGGCATTGGCAAAATACACATCTTTCGGCTGTACTACATGAAATAAGATATATTAAACTTTTCCAGATAGATCGCCCTATCCGGATAGATCAACCAGACCATGTTTCGCATTTCATCCGGAGTTCCAGAGATCCAATCATTAAAAGAAAAGAAAAAATGATACCAATCCTTTTTCTGATCTATACAATACGTGCCATTTGTAGAACTGATTAAAAGAAAAAAACGAAATCAACAAATGCAGATTACAACTCGCAACATATCTTGAAAAATTAACTCGAGCAAAATATATACAAGATTAATTTACTGAGGAAGGGATGAAACTATACTAGAGATACGAGACTATAGTTACGAGGTAGGAGGTAGTTAAGGTGTAGGATGTGAGAGTTGGCAATTACTTTAATCAACACTTTGTAATACCGACGATGTGCATAAGCGCATTCTGGGTACTGACGTATCGGTCCAACAACTGTGCACATTAATTGCAACGAAAATAAAAATCCACCGAATTATCTGCTTTATATGAGAATCAGAATTATACTATATGTTCGACATGAAATTTTATTAGCATAATTATATGCAATATCGATTGATGGAATTATTTCATTGCAACATATGCATAAAAGTGTTTCTACGAGTAAAAAAAAATGTACATGTGGCTAGGACGGATCTACTTGATTATGGAAAAAAATAAGGATATGTAATATCATCCGATAATAAAAATATCATCCGAAAGTTTACATGTATTATCTCAAAAAATCATGTTATGATTTTTAAAAAAAATTGATAACCGGTAAAAACGTACCTTCTTTGTTGACCGCGTCCAAGCTCTGATACTGCAGCTTGTCCGCAGCTACAAAAAGAGAACAGTAGAACACAGAAGAGAGCATTGTGGCGACATTCCACCATTAATTCAATTGCCAGTAATTAGTCCCTAAAAGCTCTAATATCTCGATGCCTTTAACGTTAACATAACACATACATAATATATATTAAACGTCATTATATGTTTGCGCGCATTTTTGCAAAACTATTCTTCGAAGAGCAAACAAAGCATTTTTACATCATATTATCATTATTATATCGCACGACCCATTTATCTACATGCGATTTCGTAAAAATGGTATAAATTCAAATCTCTTATTTAGATAACAAGAAACATCTACAAATTTAACAATACAACTTCAGCCCAAAATTTAGAGATAAGTAATATTGATCTTTTATAAATATCATAAATATTTTTAATTACGTACTGTAAAAATTGTAAAATTAATCGAATCATTGATTCATTAAATTAAATATCAAGCACGATTTAAACTTCGATATTTTTCATTAATCACTACTTATACAAGGGAAATAGGATTTATCGTGAAATATAATTTCACGGTGTGAATCTATTATATAATTTGGGAGGGAGGATATATACGGCATTCATACTATTATAGAGCATACTATAAATGTCGATAACTGCCATTAAAGTGATGTATAAATATATAAAGAAGACACCAATAATCAATAATTATATAATCATGCACAAACTATTAAATGTGTTAAGGATACCGTACACGTCTTACACATTCCGTATATCCATGTGTATGTACGCGTATGCACGCACATATGTATACAACAAGTATAGATCAACCGTTAATATTACATTTCGGCCAAATGTCACTCGTTTATCAGCGACATCTTTCACACTTACTTCACTAAATCTGCTCACCGATATGGGTAACTTGCACATTAAGACGCACTTACCTTTCTCGGGCTTCTCTTGCCGTTGATGATCGTAGCTTCGCGCGCGTGGTTCCACAATATTCCCTGCTTCCTTGCTTCGGCGTTGTCGCTGACTTGCCGCCAATTGGCTGCCAAGTCTAGCAGCTTCGTGTCCGGCCACGGTTCTAGCGCTGTACGTACAGTAACATTGAAACCTTTATTCGTCACATATTATTTTATTAGAATAATAAAATGTGTATAGAAAAATGATCAATGTAAATTGCATATAATAGCAGACCTGATTGGAATCGGTGCCGAGCTCTGCAAAAATCCACTATCATACGGTTCGTCCATCATATTCGGATCTAGATCCATCATGTCGATCCCACGACTGGTCGTTGGACTGTCTAGCATAGAGTCCATAGTATCTGTTTCCATTAATGGTGGAGGCGTATCCTGAAAGCAAATTTTTGTCTATCGTATAACTATTTAAATGATTGAGAACAAAATAACACTTACCAAAAATAAACAAACTGTACTTACAGCTTGCGCGGTAGGATTTATCAAATCGTCTTCGATAATGCCCAATTCCGCATCTTCCTCCTCTATCCTGGTGCTACATTGTGAACTAGTATCCTGACCAGAACCACCACTCTCCCCCTTAAAAAAAAAAGAAAAAATTATTAATTTGTATTGAGGTAGTATATTATACAGATAATTTAAAATCTTACCACATTGTGACTGCTCTCATTGCGCGAGTGTGGTCTAAATCCAGGACCAGGCGGCAGATTCTTCTGCACGCAACAGTTAACGCCAGGACTGAAGTGCAATTCGACATGAAAACGTTCTTCACTGCATGGATCTTTGGTTGGATCTTCATACAACATGACGACAATTTGCGACATGTAGTTCAACTCGGAGACCATGCTAACGTATTCCATCGCGCGCCGCCACTGTTCGTCTTTCACCACCTGCGAATCGAATGAATAAGAAATTAGAAAAATAGGAAATTATTTCTCCTAATTATAATACGAACATATCACTTACATCGAGTAAACCACCATAACGTAACACGGTTAGCAAGGAATGTACATGACTCTCACTTGTGAAGTACAGCCTCGTACGTACATGGCGTCCTGGACTCGAGACACCATGGGAATATCTATAGATCATTAATAATAATAAGTGTATAGTTATTAAAAAAATCTCAAACTGTTAGAGAAGAAAATTCTACAAAAACAAGACTCAATTGTTATACCTAGGATTAAGCCTATTTACAGTCTCCTCAGATTCTTCGATATTTCGTTGTAAATCAGCTCGTATTTTTTTCAACAAAGGCGTGCATATACCTTGGCCAATAGTCATTTTCTCTTGTACCGTTAAACCATATTCCTGCGCATTAATATATAATAAAATTTACAGTTAGAAAAATAAAATATTGATAGAATTAACGGCGAAAATAAATGATACCTGAGGGATTACTATATCCGCTAAAGATTTAGCGTACGTATACAATTCTTCCGCATGTTCGAATTGCAATGTATGATTATTGTGTTGCAGATCGTATTTTATACAATCGTAAATATCGGGAATTTTAGATATGTCGAAACGTTTATTTTTCGTACAAAAATCCTTTTCTATCTTTCCCCAGCGACGTCCCATCAGTTCCCACGTTTCACCGTGATAGAGTATCGTGTCCTTTGTTTTCGGATCTTCCTTTTTTATTCGCACAATATCTAAGAGTTTCTGGATAAGAGTATGAACGTGTTGGCAACATCGGACCGGATTTTTGACAAAATCTAAAGCGGCATTGATGCTGAGCGCGTTTCCCGGATTGATCTGTTCTCGATCCTCCCGAGTAAAGTCTCTATCTTGTTGTAGAAGCTCGTGCAAACGCGTTTTTACCCTATAATTATAAATATCGTATATTATATGGAAAAAGTTACAATTCAGGCGTTTAGTGAAGATCTACTCACATATTCTGATATTTGCTACTATCGCAGTCGTTATCTAGAAGACCATTGGTGTTCGCGCTTTTCACCATTTGCACTAAAATAGGCGTTAGCTCTCCCTCCAATGCAAGCAATCCTTTTGCAAAAGCCGCCGCAGTCATTTGAACGCGTCCCTCATCGCTAGCATAGATCTTTAAGTCATGGCGAAACGTAGAGTGCAAACGTAACAAACCCAATCCTTGTGCACCTGCGTATTCACCTACATTTAACAAGGGGGAATAATATCAACACACCGACGGGATTCCTCCTGTCACAACTATCATAATCATAGAACACAACGACAACGGAACAATTTAGAGAGTATTCAAAAAAAAAAAAGAAAAAAAAAGTTGTCGAGATGACCTATGCTCTAGTATCGAGATCATCGTGATATATCAAGATATATTATCGAGATTAATTATATTATAAAGATATCGGGATTAATTATATTATATTAATTAACGTTGTGACAATACGGAAGGTACTGCAAGTTTTTCATGTCTCTAAATGTTTTAGAGTTACCTTAAAACTCCTCTGTTGGTATTTTAATAGAAAATTACATTTCGAAGAACACATATTGTACAAATACGTGCATAACATTTTACATATAAAAAATTATATTTAACGTATTGTAGTGCCGTTAAAAATAAAACTAATGGAAACGTACATTAGCATAAAGAAAGCGTGTGGCGAGAGGTAAGTGTGGTGTACGCTAAAATCGCTAAACCATGCTATTCCCTAGTTGCCGACAACGGTTTGTTTCCGTTAAATCGAGTGGCAACTCGAGAACTCGTTCAAATAAAAAGATACAAAGTGTGCAAGTGTACTCTTACTGTTAACGCCGTCGACCGTAACATCACTATTTCTAAGAACAGCAATACAATCTACAGAGAACTATGGAATAAGCGTGGATCGTAAATAAAAGGTTACCGTGATTTGGTAACATCTCTGATTCTTCCTCTGAAATAATATTTGAGATAGATTATCCTATATGTGACTCTCGAAAGTGTAATATTACTACATCTCACTATTGACTACCAGTTAGATATGATTGCCAATGGTTGTTAGTGCCACAGTGGTTGCTACACTGGCAATTACTCTCGCACAAATTCGATATTACTTTCAAATAGCTTTTACATTTCTCATACAAGATATAGTGATACAAATCATGTGAGAATATCGTATTTAATATCAATACGCCAATCTTTTTAAGCCGTTCAATAATTTTGCAACTTGTACAATATAGCATTCTCAAGATACAATAATTCGTACCGAAAGCCTACAGGCTTTCAGATTATACTTCATATATCACAGGTAAACCCATATCAGGTTTAGCTAATAGAGGAAAATTATTATAGAAACGATTTTCGATACTGTGTAGAAACTTAAAAGCGAGCATGGCAAGCATATGAACATAAGATACGAACCACTAAGGTGTCTACCTTGACCACCGGGGTACATGCAGCGGAATATGCGTCCTAATTCTTCCGCTTGAATACGTCCAGCCGGCGTTAGTTCTCCGCCCCACTTTAATATCAAAACGAGAGATGGTTCCCCTAATCGATCTAAAAGAGAAAAAGTGAAGAGGTACGCGTATTTCTTCATATACATGATATATAATTTTTTATAAAATATATCTATTAAATATATTATATTACGGCCCGTAAGCGTTTTTATCGACAAATACGCGATTTTATTTCTAAAATTATATAGTAGATGTAATGTGAATTATTTGGCAAATATGCGTGCTAACATTGCATTCTGAATATGGGCTTATATGAATATAAATATTCATTAAATATATATCCTTAAAAATACATATATATCGTATATATCGTATGTATATTATATAAAATAGTGAAAAAACAAACGAAGCATACTAAGATCGCTACCGTCGTCGGAGGAACTTCCCCGCGGCCGTCCTCGCGGTTGATACTTTAATTGGACTTTGCGATTTATGCCAGAGAAATGCCCGTACCTGCAATGTAGAGTTAATAATTTTATTATAAATTTATCATTTATTACTCAATTGTGTAATATTAATAATAATCATGTACATCTTAATTCATTAAAGTACTGTACTGTTTTGTTTATTGCTACATACATTTCTAAGACACTCTTAAGTTGCTCCAATTTCCCTTGTTTTTCTTCCAACTCGGGACCCGCTGCACGATGCTGTATTTCCGCTAGCAGACTACGCGCTGTATCGAGAATCTCTTGCAGCTGTTTAGGGCGCTTTAATTTGACATGACCGTGTTTATAGCCATCATACTTTGCAAATATCTCAAAAAATCTGTGAGACATTATAAATTTTAAATTATGATACTTTCAGATGAGAAAACATATAAGATCTTTACTCACTTAGGATGACGCACTTCTACTTTCATCTTCTGTTTTGGGGTTCTATCACCATGTCTAATAACTGCCACGACACAGCGCAATTCCATCCTAGATAAATATCGAAGTAATTAATAATGATTGAGAAACATGCATCAGGACTTAATTGTGTATAGTTCAATTATCACTTGTGGTTAGACTAACATTTTGCCAAATGTGGTTGGCACGATAGGAGGATCGTCCAATTGAAAGGGAACGCTCCATGGAATATGCAACGTGGGAGCCAACTCCCTAAGTATCATATTCCCCAAAATCTTGGCACAGTCATCGTAATATTTGTTCGAGTTCTTTACAAAACTAAATCCATTCACATCGCACACAAACGACTGGCCGTTTGCTCTGTAACCAAAATCATGTTGTATCAATTGTACTTACTTGACTTTTGACACTTACGTAAATTGCACGATACACACTGTCAATATCTTTTTTTTGACTAAAGTCAATGTCGCAACAAAAATCAAAGATATTGAATGTGTAACATGAAATAATATTATAATATAATACGATAATATGAAAATAATATTGATAACTACATCTTAATTATATTATTATACGTTGACACATAATGTATCACATCTTAATATTACACAAACAAATAAAATAAATTTTATATAAGAAACATATTTTTTTAACGAATTTGACATATCATTGTTCATAAAAAGAATTATCGAAAAAGTAGACTGAATTTCTTATCATATTGGTTTTATTACATGAAAATGTACGATCACATACCTTAATAAATCGAAACCGCACACCGTTTGCTTGAAGGCCAAACATACCTTCCTACTAATTAATTTTTCAGCATTATTCAATATCACCGGATAACGAATTTCTTTACCCTCCGAATCTCTCTCAACTTTGCCGTCAAGAGCAGGACTCTTCCTCGCTTCGGCATGAGCGTAATCAGGTCCCACGGTATAGACTTTAACATCGGTGCCATCGGTAGGCATAAAATCTTCATAGATATAAGAACCACTCTTGCGAACGCGAGATTCTGGAGAATATACACTACTACGACTACCTATCTGTAACAAACAAACATTATTTATACAATAAGTATTCATTTTTAATTTTTTCCATGTAGAAAAACGATGTTTCTACATTTTGTACAAAGAATCATATATTAATTTCAGGAAAGATAATATAATTCAAATAAAAGATAATATATACCTTTCTAAATAATCTCTGACTTCCTCCTCCAGCAGAAGTAGGATAATAAATATAAATATTATGATCTTCAGCTGATACTGGTTTTTCCACGAATGGTTTATTGAAAGTAATACCATTCACCTCCACGTGATCCTCTGACTCCACTAATTCGTGTTCTAAAATGCAGTTTATATTTTTTATATGTAAAGATTAACTTCCTAAAAATGAGTTTTGCATATTTGTTTACTTTAAAATTAAATTCAGAATAAATTTGAAGTTAATTCGGGATGTACAGATTAGTTACTTAAAAACTGAAGATGAAAATGTACGTAGCATTAAACATTGAAATATATTATTTTTAATTGCAGAGAAGCTATAATACAGGGTGGGCCATCTATTGGTACGTTTTTGAATTTCGTCGTATGGCAACACCGAACGAGCTACAGACCCGAAATTTTGACAGTTTATTAGTCATACCGTCCGCGGCACGAAACAACATGTTTTCTCTTGAAGAGCGTTTTGAAATTTTAAAAACTTATTTTCAAAGTCAGTGCTGTGTCGCCGAAACTGTACGAATTTTGAAAAGAAATATGGGTCGTGATAGAGCACCCACCGAAGGAGCTATACGCAAATTGGTGAGGAAAGTTCGTGAGAAAGGGATGTTAGTGGATGACATTATATTACGACTGTTTTGAGTGAAATTGGCGCCGAGGTAGTCCAAAATGTCATTAATAATTGGGGTGACCGAATGGCATACTGTAAGGCCAGTAGAGGGAGCCACATGAACGAAATCGTTTTTCATTCTTGACGCGGATACTTTTAGCTTCACAACAAAAAAAAAATTAATAAAAAATATCAATGTATGCTCATTTGATCGCATTTTTAAAAACGTACCAATAGATGGCCCACCCTGTATATACAGGATGTTAGTTAAGTATGTTGCCATACTCAACAGAGCAAGGCATATTTATGGAAGATGTCTCCAAAGCAACTTACCTGTTTTGTCAAACATTTGCGAACATTCACTTGTATTTCGGAAACTAAGCCGTTTAGGATACATGTTTATATGGAATTTTTTACTTGAAATAAACCAAAGAATCGCTCTGTTGAGTATGGCAACATACTTAACTAACACCCTGTATATTGACAAAGGAGACAGGTATCTATCCAATTCTTCATTAATAAAACAATTTTTAGCAAAATCAGTAAAAAAATTGTTTTATGACAAGATGATGCCGTCCCTAAAGAGCTAAACGTATAAGTGATACACATGAATGTTTTAAATTCATTACCGTACGTCATGGCTATTTGATTTCAAAACCGGATCGCGAAGATTAAATATTTACAATTTATTTATAAATAATGTATATAAATTTTATAACTCACGTTTCGGATCTGGTGAATCTCTGTCGAGAACGGCATATCGTGGAATTTCGATACCTTCGCTTTCCAGTATAGCATAAACTCTTCTTCGGTCCTACAGCAATTTGTATTAATAGAGGATATACGTAATAGAAAAATACATTAATATTCTGAAATTAAAGGCTTATATACCTGGATATCGTACTGCATCGGGAGATGATTGATGATGAACGGTTTACGTAAATTCGCATAATTTATAGCCTTATCAAGGGGGAAGCCTTTACTATGGAAACTTATTAAGCAGTCGACTATAGGCCAATTTTCTACAGGTTCCTATAAATGAACAAAAACAAAAGATATAAATTTTGTAGAAATACGATATAGTTCCACAACGTAAATATACATTACCTTTAATATCACTTCTTCTGGAAAGACGACAATTTTTATATATTCGAATTCTTCGAGCCTTGTCAAAATCTCTTTCATCGGTTTACTCTGTGACTTCTTCGCCATTGCACATATTCCAACCAGAACTTGCTTTCCCTCTCCTTCCACATCACTCCCACCCATATAAGCATCATCTTGGTTGCCTTCTGATAATTCAGGCTAGAAAGTAAAATAAACAATAAATAACAGAAGAATACATCACTTACGCAAATCATATCTAATGCCATATCAATAAAAAAAATAATTTTAATAAACACTTCAATAAAATTAATACATATTTAATATAAAATTAAATTCACTATCACACACTCATTTTTTTTTTTGAAAAATCAGTGATAGATCAAGTAGTAGAATGTCACAGCCTAATACTTTTATATCGTTTCTAAAAATGAATATGATTTCTAAACTCCGCTATATAACAAGCAGTGATGAAGATTGTAAAATCTTCAAGCTAAATAGTGCTCACCCAGTATGCCTTTAGGCAGGATAGAAATCTAGGCTTGTCGTCAGCAGGACAATTTTCATCGCGAACTCTTGTAAGATTACTCATTATACTCTTTAGTTTGATCTTTTGATAAGTAAGTTATACGTCGATCGCATATGTTATTGCCTACATAGAAAGGTAATACATATCAAGCAACAAAGCGTGAAATATGTAAATTTGAAAATAAAAATTCACGCTATTTAAAAAATTCGTAATTCATTCAGTATGAAATTTTCATTCACCTACACGTTTATATTTTTACCTATTTTTGTTTATTTCACTTTGCCATTATTCCACACATATACCATTATCACTACAATCCAGAATCAATGAGAAATGCAATATCAGTCATGCAGCAACAAGTAAAACCAAAGCACGAGCGTTTGTTAATCACTGCAATGAAAGATTTAGAAAAAAGGTGAGATATTGATGTGATAAAAGAAAGAAAAAAAAGATTACAGCAAGCTAAAGAAATATAGTGAAATCTATCTTCATTTCCTATAATTTATAATAATTCGAATACATGAATATAAGAAGTTCTTGTAATAGTAAATTTCTATGTGATTAGTAATTCTGATAAGTTATCACAGAAAATTATATATCTACTATACATTCAATTGATAAATCTTTATTATTTGTGTGTTTGCTATTTCTATAGAGTTAACACACATTACACACTCGCTTTTACCTTGGAAATAAAATTCATTGTTATATATCTTCAAGAATTAAATACTCCATAAATTCTGATGTCTTCTGTTCTGATAATAAGCAATGATTTAATTGATAAAATTCCAATGTCGATCATTTAAAGTATGATTACAGTTAACGTATCATGATAGAAAGATAAAGAAAAATTTATCACTGTCACTTGAACATTATCACTATAACTTAGGACTCAAATATATTCTTGTGGCAGCATATTTATACACCTTCAAATGATATAAGAATATAGCATTAAATTATCAATTAATTTAGATTTCAATAATATGCATACTGTTTGCCTATATGAACTGCATTCACACACTGTTAGAGTAACGAGCAGCGGATATCTTCTGAATCAAACTCACAATTGCCATAATGTTATCAAGCATAGTTAGAAGGAATTTATAATTCGATCAATATTAGAATTGTTCTAATTGATGGTAAATATTAACAAATGTACAATATTCCTAAGTGACAAATGAGATAACTGTTTGCATTATACATGCATCAATAGAAAATTTAAATTGCTGTATCACGTGCATACCATTCGTGCTCGAATAATGTGTCTTACGATGAGATAAATTCCTGTCTGACCGAACATCATGGAAAAACACAAAATTTAGCTTATTCTTTTATTGATTATATTTATACACTTTACTATATAGAAATATTTATTAATATTTATTGCAAATGCTTGCACTGATTGATTTAATTCTTTAAAAGCTGATATTATGTAATAAGGGTATATCTCTTGACTATGTAGGTACTAGTGATTAATCGACAAAAGTTCCATCAACATTTATTTAGCAACTGTTTAAGTAACTGTTGGCATATTTTCGCTTGTAAAAGGCAAGTATATTGTAAAAGAATATATAATTATTTAAACGTGTAAAAAAATATTTACATGTATCACATATTCCTTATGTATACATATATATATATGTATGTATATATATATATATATATATATATATATATATATATATATATATATATTTCTAACCTCTGAATGCTATGCTGTTTTCCTACACAGATGCTTTACAGCTGGCGTATTATGTTATATTTGTCGTTTTTATAACATAAACATAAGATAAAAAGATAGAAGTGCAACAACGCTGTTTTACTAATTTCAAATCAATCCATTTCTTGAATAACAATCGATTGGCACAGCGGCATGTGGCTCTGTTCGCATCACATTACTTTTCTACGTCTGTGATACCTCATCAGATAAAGATCAGATTCATACATACAATTAACTAGATGCAAGATCTAGAAAATTATTCGCATAATATATAACAAAAATGAATACTCATTTTAAAAAATTTTATATATAAACTACTTTATACACAACTTTATAAACATACTAATATGTGCTGTTAGGAAGCTGAAGGATAGATTTCTATGCTTTGTGCAATATTATAGACACTTGCAGTCATAGGCCTGTTTTTTATTCCCGTACTAGACTATACTCGAATTTTTTTTTTGCTTTCAAATATCAAACATAATTTCACTTTAAATTCCACCAGCGTACACTAGTTCAGTTATAGAAAATAGACCTCGTGTATTTCACCAACAGTAAAATAATCATCCCAAACTTACTCTTTTCGATGAACGATAGATTGAGGGAATAACAGATGACTGCACTGTATTTATGTCTCCTATATAGAACATCGGTCTGCTTGCATTCCTGAGACCCTGTAAAGGAAAAGAAACCCATTAGATCAAGTGGAACATATAATTTCATTTTGACGGTTATAAAGAGAATTTACTTGGTAACCATGTTCCAGTTCAGTGTAAGACATGACAGATCCGGTCTCATCGATAAAACAAACTGTTTTACGTGTTTATGTCAAATAACGTCCTGTGCACTGAAACTATCGTGTTAACTCACATCAATTGCATTAATTATCAATCTGTTAATACCATTTATAAACAGGTGCGAAATACTACTTGAAAATGTGCAAACTAAGAAAAAAATAACCGTCTTGTTCTTTTAATCTTACAAGCTCTTCTCTTTCACTTGAATTCCTAACGAGAATGTCAGCGAGTGTTTTTCAATGTTTTCTTTTCCAGTGATAATTTACAAGAACGTTCTTCCTCAGGTGTTCGTTAAGCGACGATGTGCGTCGCTCGATGCGTTGTTTTCCTAGCGAGCTGTAACAGAAAGCAAATGTTTGCGAGGAGTTAAAAACGGGTAACGAATTTATATATCCATCTAGATAACTGTGTTTGTAATATCCGGCTAATTACAAACAATAGCGTCGAGTCATATTTGCCTTACTCCGATTTAATCAACGCGTTGGTGAAGTGCGCGCCATGCAAAACGGCCGCATGAATTCGCCAACAGATTTACACGGAGACAGAAGGAAAATCGAGCGATACTCAGCAGTACTTACCGTTTGCCACGAAAATGCGATCCGTGACGACGATATTCGCACGTGACTCGTAACGTGACACGATTGGGGATCGCGACTGTCCGGCCGTTTGAATTTGCGTGTCTGTTGACGTCGCACAGATCTTGTCCCGGCATGTGTCCCACGAGATCGAATCTCGAATTCTCGACAGTGGTTTCCTCTAGAAAGCGGGCTCTCCTGCGCATGTGTCACCTCTACCCGACATACAAGAGGGAACTCGAGAGATTAGAAAACATTCTATCAGGGGTCTTATTTTCAAAAAAATATTGCATACGAACGAAACTGAAATTTCAAGGGTAGTTTCCCCTGATAACAATTTTCCTTAGAATTTTTTATATAATTTTTCAGAATTTTTATTTTTATTTCAGAATTTTTTCACAATTTTCGAATTTTTTAAATTTCTAAAAAATTTAATGGATTTTTAAATGCAAATTGGAACACTTTTCAGAAATGTCAAGAAAATCTGACTTTTTTAGAATCTTTTTTTCATATATGAATTCTCTCTGAAATATGTAAGATTAGATTTTAAAGATTTTTCATTCCATTTTGATAAAATCTTATACAATTTAAAAAAAGTTTGAGGTATTTTTTTGGAGAGTATAGAATAAGAAATCTTAGAATATATTTCAGAATATATTCACATATAAAAAATTCTAAGAAAAATTTTTACCAGGAATGTTATGTGTATATTATAGATTTTCATATAGATTTATAAATATAGATTTGCATGCAGCTGAACTTTTTGTACCTTTTTATCTCCTGTCAATAGGTCTGTTCTTTTTAGCTGAACCTTTGCACCAGTTTATCTTTCTTCCTTTTCTTTCCTTCTGGATGCAAAAGTTGAAGTTAAAAAGAACAGGCTTCTTTTTTCATCCAATTATAATCTATTTCTCATTTTAAATGCAAAAAGTATAACACATTGTGATAAATTAAAAATATTATTTAGAGATTTACTCTTTATAATTGAACCTTTTGTAGTTTTCATTTTTTTTTCTTTCAATGTCACACACCACGCGCGCACGTACACACACATACATACACACACCAATTATACACCTATTTTATAATAAAAAAAATATAGGTATAGACATAACATAGTGCAGTTGCAAACGACAAATCTAAAATATTACAAAGAATAATTATAAAATCTGAATGAATTTAAGCAGAAATTTAAAATAGATAATGATAGAATTGCAATTTACTTGAGATGTTACGTGATTCCACATAAAAACAGCTGAGTCATAATTGACAGATCTTGGATTCGATCTCTCATCCTACATACAAATTTTATAATTTGCGTAAAGCACTCTCTGACTCTTCAGGATTAGGATTGGACAGTAAACAATGGTTGAATAGTGGATAGTTACACAATGACTTGCTAATTAATTTCTGATTATAATTTCATAGTTAGCCAACTAACAATAAGCTAGTCAATTTTTAGGATTGTTTGAATAAGTTTTTTTCTTCATCAGCAGTTGTATAATTATTACCAATCCCTTGGACTGCATAAAAATCTTTACCAGATCTGGGCATCTAAAAACAAAATTTCTTAATGATCATAGCATCACACTTCTATAAATAAAGCTTTATTATCTTTTTATTTGTATAGAAATCCCCTTTATTGAGGGAAGCCTGACTTGAGCTATGGAATCATAGGATAAATTTACTTTATTTGCATATGTAGTACATAGTATTATATTGCATTTTTTTACAATTTGATAGTGAAAAAAAAAATTATGTACACGTTAAAATTTCATAAACCAAAATTATTAAATATGAAGTAAAAAATATTACATTCTACACAATAATCCTACTTTAGGTAAATTATGAAGTTTTTACAAGAACGAAGAGCTCTTAATTTAAAAAACAATATCAAGAGTATACAGGGAACATAAGAGTCAAATATAACGAAAAATTTTGAAACAAAAACTCAAACAAGAAGTATATATATAATACAGTATTGTATAGTACTCTGTAATTAAAAAAAAATATATATAATATATATAATATATATATATATATATATAATGATATTAATATATATAATTAATATATATAATTTTTAATGAATTACAGAATATTATATTATATTATATATACTTCTCGTTTGAATTTTTAAAAATTTTTCGTTATATTTGACTTTTATGTGCTCTCGATATTGTTTTGTAAATTATGAGACAAGATTATTGAATGTCTAAATGACATATAAATAAATAAACTGCTTATTAAAATTTGTATTTTGTGATGTTGCAAATGATGCTTTCATAAGAATGATCTCACATAAAACATGTTTTTTCGGAAATACCTGAGTACAAGATAAAAACACAAAATAACAGTATACACTCCGTAACTTTTTGATGTTAAAATAAGACAAAATAGGACTACTTTCTTATTTTTTTGTCGAAGAAAAAGATCCAATATATTTTCCTTGCGCTTTGATTGCAATCACGATAATATATGTCGTGTGTATATATCCATGATCATTCTGTAAAACCTTTTCCATAGCTATATTTATTTCCTATGCCAATTTGATAATTACAATATAGAAAGAATTTTATAATTATCATTATTGCATACAAGTTCCTGTAAATCAAAGTTCATTTAATCAAATAAAAGTCAATTTTGTTATTTTAGCTATATTAAAATTATAATGAATATTTACCTTATACAAGATATTTATTCATAATGTTCATGAAACCTATCATCGTGACCCCAACCCTTGTTCCTTTCCCTCGGTGGAGTTGTCTTCAACGAATTTGATTTTGCATTAATATTAATTCCTTTTTTTGATTTATCCAGTGCACCTGAACCACGTATCGCTCTTGGACCGCTAGAATTTTTTGAATAATTGCCATGCTCAGGTATATCATTTTTCACTTCTTCTTTTATAATTCGTTGATTATTCTCAACTTCCCGCAATTGATTATCTAGAACATCAAAAAATTGTCGATTTATGATAGTAGCGGTAGTATTATTCACATAATATATTTATATATTTTTATTTAACGATTAATAATTTAAATCATGTTACCATTTTCAGTCTTTGTCGTTAAGATCACCTTCAATTCTTCATGAAAAAATGGAGGTTCAAAAGAGAGAGACTTGATATTTGAGAAATAAAAATGTTTCAACCGCGTGTCCTTAATTTCGTAGTCATTATTGGCTAACTCTATGATTAATAATAATGCCGCATTGTTCTCGGAACTATATAAATTTTCCTTTACCAGCAATTGCCTGATTGTCATTATTAAGCTGTCTAATCCACCTGGACACGCTGCATAAAGATCTTTACCAGCTCTAAGTATCTAAAAAAAAAAAAAATGAGATTTCTTATTAATTACAATATCATGCTTTTATAAATGAATAATCTTCAGTATTTGATTCTTATTCGTATATGTCATTTCGCATACATTCAATACCTTGTTTTTATTCTTACCTGTATCATGATGAAATAAATATTATCCTTAGGATTGTCTTGCAAGAGATCTTCCAAATATTGAATTAACGGCTCAGCTAATATTTTCAATCTATTTCCGTCGCTCAATTTCATGTGATAATAAACTTCTGCATGAAGTAAAATTTTATTGGCAAATGTTCTTTTATCTTCTACTCTATCTTTTTCCTTCGCTAAAAGGACAATATCAGTATAGTATATTATAAAATATAGAACAAGAGATTAAAAATCAAAAATACCAACATATATAATTATCCTGAAGGAAACGTAAGAAACGGCTTCGTATAGTGTTTTTATTAGTATCTTCTAACCGAACAACCATGTTATCACTGAATATCAGGGCTATTTTCGTGGTCAATGAGTGATATACAGCCTGCTTCCAAAGAGAATCACATACATATCTAAAATTTATGACTTTGGATTAGAATAATTGCCAAAGTGACGAAAGAAAGAAAAGTTCAGCTGCAAAGAGAGTAGACCTAAAAAGTTTACATCTTCTCTTTACTGTTTTTCATCTTTTTTTCTCCAATGTCTGACCATAAGAGATGAGAAATCTTGCTCTTTTCAGCTGAACTTCTTGCATGGTTCTTTTCTTTGGTGCTTTCCATTTAGTGACACAAGTCGATACAAACATCTTTTTTTTTTGATATTTTAATGAATGATAAAGGCTGTTTTTCTTTTTAGGAGAGAGAGAGAGAGAGAGAGAGAGAGAAAGCGAGAGAGAGAGAGAGAGAGAGAGAGATAAATATCTTTCTATTTTTGTTATTCATCTACGTTCAGTAAAATGTTTATATTGTAACTGTTGAAAGTTTTCTTTGCTGAGATAGGATTATTCTTCTAATCTAAAAATATAATTTGATCAGAATGAAGGAAACTTCCAACAATTGTAAAATAAACAGTCTATTAAACACGGCCAATGAATGTCAACATTTGTATTAACTACAAGTGCTTTCTGTTTGATGACAGAAGTAAATGTAAGTGCATTCTATCTTAAAGTAATTCTGAGTCAAGATAGTATAATGGTTGTGTCAATTTGTATCACTAATTCTTATGTTCATCAATATAGATTAACTTTAATTTCGGTTTACTTTCTTATTCTAAAAATTATTCTTTATCTTTTTCTAGTTATAAGAATTAGAAAAAGATAAAAAATAAGTTGAACCAGGTTAATCTTGTTAAAAACGAATATAAATAGAAACCTGTGTCTCCTAAAAGAAAAACAGCCAATGACAGAAAGACACTTGTATCAATTTGTCACCAAATGAAAAGCATCTTGTTTCCTGAAGGAAAACTCGTAACCTTAGACTGTCCTCGTTGATGGCAATTGTCAACAGGTCTACGATATCCTGGATTAGCTTCGGCGAGACGCTCTCACACTCATCATACGAAACTATCTTATCTATTATGTCCTTCAAGACTTTGTTGTTACTGGATACGCTTCCTCCTGGTCTACGTAACCCCTGATCCTTGTCCTGGTTCTGGTTCTGATGATTGGACCATCCACGACCGCGACCAAACGAAGTCATCCTCACTTAACAACCTGTTTGACATAAAAGATATATGTCAATATATTTCCAGTGACTGAAAAGTAACATGATTTAACAATTTTATTGAGAAATACAAACGTGCAGGATACAATCCGATTCGACCACTTGCTTCTTCTCTAGATTTTGAAGTTGTATACAATGCGATCGGCAAACCATACGGGTCCGTTTCTTGGTGTTGCACTATGTTGTACCATTTGCACTTTCTGCACTTGCGACAAGTTCTGCCAGTGCAGTGGTCTGTTCGTTTTTTTCTTTTCATGCATCGTTTATTTTTTTTATCTTTTTTCTCTAGTATGAAAAGAAAAAGAGGAAAATACAAATTTAGCCATCAACAAAATGATATATCTCATCGATAGTTTAGCTAAAAATAACACACCTCCTGTTTAATGGTTAGACGTTGTAGAGAAAAAAAGACAATAAAATTTAAAGGGAAGATTAGTAAATTTTTAGGCTTTTCGCTCTTTTTGCAGCTGAATATTTTTTATCTCTTGCTTTTCCTTTCTTTCTATTTAATATCATATTTGCAGTAGACATCGGTGATAAAGTGTAGAAAGAGTAGACGGAACAAATGCATCTTTCATGAATTATCGATGCGCCGCTTGGCAATTGCCGCCAGCGACGTCGCGTTTAAATTTCTCCAATTTCGTCTGTTACGGATAAATATGATACGTCACGCGATCCGGAGCTGTTTAGACGCCGATTAATTCCTGGACAACGAAGGAAGAGAAATAGCGAAAAGTTGACAAATTTGGTTAGCATTTAACTTCTCCAAACGTACCGATATTATAAATTGCACCGTACAGAGTATTTATGTTAGATTTCTTCATCCGTAGATTGCGAATCGATTGAAGCTCGTTACGCTTCGCAATTACGCTCGCTCGAGTGAATTCGCGTGCGACAGTTGAACTCCTGAAAAGTCGAGACGGAATTGCGGAATCGTTGTCTCTTTCTTCGACCAGTGTAGCGTATCATCGTGGGTCTGACAGTTCGACAGGTGCATAGAAGCGATAATTGTGCAATTTTATATTCCTAATTATAGTATACAATATCTACACGATATCTACGCGATAACAAACTGAGATATGAAATGAATTAAACGCTAGAAATCTGCCAATCTATTCCGAATAATAATAATTGTGTAATTTTATTTATTAAGGATTATTTTTAATTCAGGTAACAATAAGTTAAGGTAAAATACTAGATGAGAAGTTAATGTAATGGCATTCTGATAAAAATGTTATAATTAATAATTTTATTTGTTAAAAGTTATGTCTAATTTTAATGTTTGTTTGCTAGAACAGAATATACTAGCTAAATGAGAATTAGTTAATGTCTATGCTGAAAAAGCTGATGTGACAATTAATAATTATTTAATTTTATTTTTAAAGATTATTGCTAATTTATGTATATATGCTATATATTATAATGTTTATTGTGATAAACTAAAACAGAATACCAACTAAAACAGAGGATGTTAATGTCTATTCTAAGAAAATTGTAACAATTAATGATTATTTAAATTGTATTTATTACTAATTAGCTCTAATTTATCGAATGTTTGTGATAAGCAAAAAAAGAACATCAGTTAGATAAAAAGATTAATGTCTACTCTGAGAAAGTATGATAATTGATAATTTAATTATTTAATTTTATTTGTTAAAGATTATTTATTTAATTAATATTTGTTTATGATAAGCTAAAATAGAACTACAGTTAAATGAGAAGATGGCATTATTTATTCTGACAAAACTGTAACAATTAATATAATTATAATATATATTTTTATTTGTTGAGAATTATTTCTAGTTTACACAATGCTTGCCTACAATAAGCTAAAGCAGAAAACCAGACAAATAAAAAGATATTAATGTCCACACTGATAAAGCTGTCACTAATAATTTCTAGTTTAGACAATGTTAATTTGCAGCAAATTATAATAAAATATTAGCTAAATGAGAAGATATTAATGCCTACTCTAAGAAAACAGTGATTTAATAATTATTTAATTTTATTTATTAAAGATTGTTTCTAAACAATTGAAAGAATTGTGGAAATTAATTTGTATTAATAATCTATGTAGTGTTTAGTTATAATAGTTAAAACAGAGACCAGCTAAATGAGAAACAATTAATATAGTTATGTAATTTTATTTACAGATATATTCCATCAATTAACCTTGAAGACAGAAAGCTATTCTATTAATGCTGAAATATTATCATACTTTAAAACAAGGAAAACATATGCATGATGAATTATAATCAAAGACACAGAATTTTAAAAAGATTCTCCTTTCTGCTTTCTAAAGATTGAACAGCAGAGATTACTGTGGTTATTCATAAAGAAATAAAAGGAAAATTTGTATCTGCTTGTGATAAGGTAAGACACAGAATTAGAGATCAATATCAAGTAATTAATTGAAAAAATTGTTGAAATTTTGTATTAATAATTTACAGCCGCTAGAGATTGTTTCCTGAACAACTCGAGCTCGCGCATGTCCGCGAATGTTACCCCGGACGACTGCCAATCGTCAAACGGTACGGTAATCCACAGCAACAATTTGTCAGTCATCGTCAGTATAGCCAGTCATTGTCATCGCGACCATCGCGTGACCCGCCCGGATGATCAACATCCCGACAGACGTCAACAACGGTAGTCGACTCAGTAGTCGCTCGTGGTTTGCATTGTGCCAGGTCACTCCGCTGCATCTCGACGGACGAATCTCGCAGTGACAGTCAGTAGTCGCCAGTCGTTGGCTAGGTACGCTACGCTTGTACTGCGGCGCTCGGTCTCGGAGTGTTTTTCCACCCGTTCCTTTTTATTGCCAGAAGGTATATCACAACCGACGTAGCCGAGGGAGCCACGTTGCAAAGGACCGCTGCTTGTCCGTCCAGGAAACATGACGACGGAGGAGAAGTTCAACGCTGCCGTGAACGTGATCAGGAGTCTGCCGAAAAACGGTATGATAATCTTACACCCACGTTATCGTCGCATTGGCACGGCGAATCTTGGAGCGTCTCGAAAGCGCGGATGCGTATCTCGAAAGTGAATTTTTCCTTTGCGTGCATACACTCCAAAACATTTTACCTCTTACACATTCGCATCCGCTGTTGCGTTCGCCTGAGAACGCGGCAGATATCACAGTATAATCGCTTTTTGCTTTCCACGCTTGTTGATTTCTTTCCCTTTCTCGCCTCTCTTCCTTCGTATAACTTTACTGCGTGCTGGCTAAAGTCCACGTCGCTGTCGATATTTATTTTCCTCATGCGAGAAGGCTCATTATTTGTTCACAATGAGAAGCCGATAATACGTAATTAGTTTTTTTCGCGTATTTAAAAGCGTCGAATAAATCAACTGCAAGCATATATATATATTTTCTGAATGTTTTATATAAATTTCTTTAACGTGAAAACATTATTCGAGCAATGACAGTAAAAATTACACATGAGTCTTTAAACTTCTAGCTTTTTTTATTAAGTGATTTTATAAATGAAAAAAAACACGAAGATTTTATATGCGTCGTCGTTACGCGCTACCATGCGGAGAAATTGGCAAGATCTATAATGATGTCCGAGGAAAGTGAATGTTCTTAAGTCAATTTCTTATTCGCGGTGTCGAGAGTGATTAATAGGACAAAAAAATTCTATTTCCCGAATGCTCGCGCACTGTACGGAAGAAGCCTCCATGTCCGTCGTATTGTCTGTTCTATTGGACGACACACATTTTGATACTCTCTGCGTTGTGACGCGAATCGCCTTCACACTTGATAATTATGCCAAAAAAAGAGACAAGTTGATTTGCATATTATTATTTCACATTATTATTCAATTCTATTGAAATTTATTATTATTCAATTCTTTTGAAAAAAACCGAGTTTACTCTTTGCAAATGAATTAAATAATAAACGACGAATAGAAATTTTGTTTACAAGAATATGGCTATTTTTTAATAAAAGTTTTCTTATTAAGAGTTTATTTTTTAAATCAAGATGCTTGTTATTTTCATTATTGTATTAATACTAATTTTGTATCATATCTGTACATAATGTATAATGCATAATATACATAATGTATTTTTTGTACTATTTAGCCTTGATGTTGGATATTGTACGTTCAAGTATACTATACTTTCCAGTCACTTCATATAGCTGTAAGTGACTGTATCATTCCCCACAGTCCCCACTTTACTTTCTAAGAATGTAAGACACGCTTAGTGGTTAAAATTAAAATGTTCTTCTTCACTGATCACAAAAAAAATAATTTGTATTGCACCAGCAGTTATGAAATTTTGTTAATAAGAGCTTATTATTTAACGCTAATTATTTATTTCCAGGTCACTGGCAATATATAAAATATAAAGTTAAAACTTGTTATTGTACGTAATCTCTTGATAATTCATCTCTGCATTCTTGTACTATGAACTTGCTTATTGACAAAAAACAGGCATAATTGCAGTGCAACGGTGAAGTATAAAGTACATGATGCATAATACAAAAAATATGAACTTTATATAAATATATGTATTCGAATTTTAATGAAGATACCTTAATGAGACATTATTAACTAAGATAATAAACTTTCACAATAATTGTTATGACAGTTATTTTCTATTAACATTAATTTCGAAGATCATGAATTCCATTAGAAATACGAATTCAATTAGAATATTTTCACTATGTCTAATATTTCTTACTATCGAATAAAACTTACGTATTTTGTAGTAAACATATATGTATATATATGTATATTTTATACGAAGAATTAAATTTTTGTGTTTCAATAATTGTGCTGTGCTTTATTATTTATTTAATTATTTCAATATTGAGAGCTTTTACAATTATTGTTATTAATTAATTTACTATTATTTAGTATAAAAATATAAATATCCTAATATTTAATATAAGGTCTTTTAAAACTGTGTAAAAACAGTAGAACTTTGTTTATCCAAACATATTAGGGAGATAAAATAGTTCTGATAACCAAATGTACTAAATTTGAATATATCGAGCTTTTATTTTTCGAATTATGGTTCCACAGTTCGAATAATTAAAAGTTCAGCTATAAACCTGTTCTTTTCAGCCGAATTTTTTGCATGCATTTCTTTCTTCTCTTTCTTTTCACATTAAAGAGATAAACTAAAAACACTAGGAAAAATCTTATGAATTCGTATATTTAGAACTGAGCACAAACTTGTTTCTGCAAATAAACGGAATTTTATATATATATAAAATTACATATATATATACCATGTGATGATGCATAAATTATCACATCATTTATCTATTTCAGAATACTCTTAACCTTTCACTAAGAGGCTCAAGGAGATTGAAATAAACATATCATCATCTATTTAATGAGATGCAATGTTGATGTTTTTATTTTTATCTCCATTTAATGCTTGGTTAATCAGAAAAAACATTTCAATTTTAACTAAATAATAAATTAAAAAACGGGCAATCAAGAGCCTAGATTCGCAATAATCGAAACGATTATATTAACATATATTTTTATTGATTCTTTTGATACATATTTTGATCTTTTTTAACAATGAATCTACCTCGAGCGTTTCTCAGTACTATATATACATAACAAATACCGAACATTTCGGCTTAATTCAAACTATTTTCAATAATCTAATATGATAAAATCTCTTGACTGCTGAGATACTAGACTGCTGAAGAGGGCTTGAATTAAGCCGAAATGTTCGGTATTTGTTATATATATATTATATTGAGAAATATATGTTGATGTAATCGCTTCAATTACTGCGAATCTAGACTGCCTATTTTTTCATTTATTACTTAGTTTTTATCTCAAGAGCCAAACTTTAATTATTCTTATTTAAATTTTAATTAAAATTATCTGTTCTTGCAATACATATTTACATATCGTATTATGTTACAACATTTAATTTTGAAAGAATAACAAAATCAATGATAAATATTTTGTAATTATAATATACAACATTTCAGGAGCATATCAGCCCAGCCATGAGATTATGTTGCGTTTTTATTCGTATTACAAACAAGCGACTGAAGGACCCTGCCAACAATCTAAACCCGCATTCTGGGAGGTAGTGAAGAAAGCGAAATGGGATGCATGGACACGTCTTGGAAATATGAGCCGTACAGAAGCCATGAATAATTATGTGGAAGAATTGAAGAAAGTAAATATAGATTTTGTAGATTAAAAGCTCATGCAAAATGAATGCATTAAACGAGAATCGTCGTTATATTGCAGATTGTCGAGACGATGTCTTATACAGATAATGTGGCAACGTTTCTCGGCAGTTTGGATTCTTTTTATGAAAGCGTACCAGCTGAGGATTTGGAATTACTCGTGGGACCAGTATTGGAACGTATACGCTCCCAACCGGGATCACCATTGTCTGGTTCACCATTAGGTACATTTCTTTTTAACTTTTAGCAATACTTAAATTTTATGTAAATAACATTTTTGCAAGTCATAAAAATACTCGAGATGTAAATAGATTTTTATGAAAGTAAGTTATAAAGATATTTTATAATAGTAGTAATACCGGTATAATATGACATAATATCGGTTTTTTATTTTCGAAAAATTATACTGTATACTGGTATCATGTCATACTAGTGTTTTCGAAAAATTATATCGGTCGAAAAATTATGTCATACCGGACGTCATACCATCACCGGTTTATATTAATTAGAGTTTTAGTTTGATTATATTACATAATATCGAAACATGCCGATATATTACTATTTTTATACCGTTTTAATTGCTGACATATATTTTGAATCGGATATACTAAGAAATAAGCTAAAATATTTTTCATTTATATAAACATTTTTATCAAAAAATTAAATTGCGGATATCGTAGAGGTTTATTAGATAACTTAAAGAAGCGAATTTTTATCAGAGTTATCAATGTATATTATGTAATGTATATTATGTAAGAACAGTACGTTCCAAGTTCTTTAAGCATAATATATATCGAAAAATGTTTTCTTCTTTTGCATAAAGCTATTTTCTTATTTTATTAGTGTCGAGAGAAACATCACCTCACAGAGTAATGAATGCTTCTCGGCACATAACGAGTAGTTTGGAAACTAGCCCGACTAGCAGCCGCACTGCGAGCCCGCTGCCACAGGACACTGATGGCGAAGAAGAAGAATTTATAGATACTGTTGAAGTATGACATTAACATTACGTTTCATGTTACGTCAATTATTCTGTTTTACGAATAATTCAATTTTATTGCAGTCAGCGCCGGAGAGAGCGCAAAAAGATGCACTTAAGTCCACTATTGCTTCTCAAAAGGTACAAACCACGGCAAAGAATGGAATTGATCATTCAAGTATAGAAAATGTTATAAAAGAGAACACTGAATTAACTAATGGATATAGCAATACTAACGGTCACGCGGAGACGATATCGGAGAATCATAGAGAGAGAAGTAGACAGAGAACGAAGAAAGATGATAATAAAGCTAATGCAGAATTTCTAAATCAAATCGCAACAACTATGCAGCATCTACAGAGAGATCTAGATCGCATAACGGCCAGAGTACGAGGTTTAGAAGGACAAGCCCTACAAGCGCTGGCGCCTTCGACAGTACGCAACATAACTATTATTTAGCTATATCTAATTTTAACAGAAAAAATAATATCTTTGATTTCTTTGAAATAACAAAATGAGAAATATTTTTTGTTATTTATTTTATCTATTATATCACGCTGATATCAACCTTCTTTTTTTTTAGGAGCACACTGTTAGACGAAAGTATCTGAAATGGTGGCCGTTGCAAGAATGCCCGCCGCGTTTGTTCGTCTTACTAATTTTATGGCCATTTGTTGCTCACTTACTGATCAACTTTATGCAGCGTTGGCGTCGCCAACGAAGACTGTGATGTCACGACTATCATTCCTACGCAGCTGAGCACACATTTCCCAGTGTTTGGGTTATTAATATTGCGTTATAGTATACGTATATAATACGTACACACAGATTTTTTTGTTTAATTTTATATTCTTTATAGAGACAAAGCTGTCCTAATGCAATCTACGATTACATTAGTAAACGTGAATTGTGATAAAAATGATTAGATCAATCTCTGTATATTTTTGCATATGCGGCCTGTTTCGGAAGTTGCACTTTCTCTCGCCTGTAGAGTCACTGCTGAATAATGGGTCGATTGATGACGGCGAAAGTTCGATTGAAAGACACTTCTGCAGTTATGTTAATAGATATACGCCTTAATATATTGTTTTTTTTTACGCATTTTTATAAAACGATATAAATATCCTAAAACACATATAAAAAGGTACACAACTTGTGTTCTTTTTTATACATTCATGTTTGTATTGTTTTATAATGAAGTGTCTATGATATTTTTATGTATTAGAGAGGTACAATGTTTTACCGCATATCTAAAAATATGCGAAATAATATATGGATATATGAATTATTTCATTTCTTGTGTTTATATTTTAAAAAAAAGTTCGTGACTTCCGGGACAATCTGTATAAAAATTATAAAGGTATAGTTCTATATTGTTCTATAATGTTTTCTAAGGTGGATTGTAATATATTTAGCTCTTTAATCGTATAGATTGTAATATATTCATACAGAGAAAGTAAATCCTTTTGTACATGCAAACGTGTACAATAGTCAGTTTGCGTTTTATGTGTAAATTATGTGGGTTTTTAAGAAAAAAAAAAAAATCTTTTAAAGTGTATTACTATTGACACTGCGACAATGATAAATATTAATTATTATTAATACGAATTATAATTCTAGTGTCAAAGG